TTAGTGGGTGGTTCCCTAGGCCACCTGCTCTTCACGGGGTCATGTTTCCTCCGAAGGAGCAGGTTCACAGCTTGGGGGTACTCCTAGAGCCTTTGCTGTCGCTCGAGGCTCAGGTGGCCTCGGTGGCCCAGAGTGCCTTCCATCAGCTTCTGTAGTAGAACTAGAAGCTGTGAGGATACTTTCTACTTGGGTCTCATTTAAGTCAGGAAGGGAAAGATCTTCTAGAAAGAGAAGAATCCCAAACCAGTTATGAAGGGTGTGGTGACCCCCTGGGTCTTCTATACTGTCAGAAGTACCTCAGTGTGGAAACTGACAGAAAGTACCACCTTGTTTAAGAATCAAAATATTAAGCTGCAACAGCTAAATTAAGGAGCTGAAGTGAAATAACTGGAAATAAGCTCAGCATTGGCCATCCTCTCTAGACACCTGTAACATCAAAGAAGAATAACTTTTAAAAAGCAACAGAAGTTTAAAAGAAGCTGTGCATTTACTACTTTGTTTAGAAGCCTGTAACACACACTAAATTTAGTACAATTTATTAATAGGTTTACTGTTTCCTGAAAGAACATTATTTATCTCCTGACACATCCTTTGCTTTTTTCAACTTTGTTCTGTAAAATAAATCTTTCTTGTTTGTTGAACTTCTGCCAGAGTCTCCAAGGATCTTTGTTTATGTTCACACAGAAAGATAATCTTATTTTTATTTCAAACTATCCCAATAATAATTGGGACAAAATATTTTAAAAGCTGGCAAAGAGACCTTGCCAATTTTATATGGCAAGGGAAGAAAGCCAGAATAAAATCAGGGGCCAAAAGAAACGGGGGGATTTGCAGTCCCAGATTTAAGAAGATATTTTGAAGCAGCGTGCTGGAGTTGGGTGAAAGAGTGGATGTTACTAAAAGATAATGAAGTTTTGGAACTAGAAGGCTGGGACAAAATACAGGGTTGGCATGGATATTTATTCTATGGGAAAATACAATTGCATAAAGGATTTACGAACTGCCATGTGAGAAAGGCCCTATTTGACTTATGGGAGAGAACAAAAGAGAGAATTATAGAAAGAACTCCAGGGTGGACCTCTCCAATAGAGGCAACCTCGACATTAAAAAAAAAAATTGCCTGGCCAACTTATAGATATTTAGCAGAAGGAATGAATGAAAATACAGTGGTACATCAGGTTAAGTACTTAATTCGTTCCGGAGGTCCGTACTTAACCTGAAACTGTTCTTAACCTGAAGCACCACTTTAGCTAATGGGGCCTCCTGCTGCTGCCGCAGCGCCGGAGCACGATTTCTGTTCTCATCCTGAAGCAAAGTTCTTAACCTGAAGCACTATTTCTGGGTTAGCGGAGTCTGTAACCTGAAGCGTATGTAACCTGAAGCATATGTAACCCGAGGTACCACTGTATCAAATTAAAAGAATACGAAGATCTCAAAATACTGGGAATAAATTGGTTAGAATATTTCCAACTTAAGGCTACATACGAGAAAGGTATAAAAACTAGGGGATTTGGGAAATAAAATATCAAAATTAGAAAGAGAGGTTTTACAAAATAATCAAAAAACACTCTCTAAAATATATAGATTATTAGATAAAGTCCTCCCAGATCAAGAAGTCAAAGGAGAGAATATTCTAAAGTAGGAACGGGATTTAGGATATACAATTGATTCTGAAGATTGGAAAAAGATTTGGGGAAAAAATATAAATTTTACAGCTTAGTATTCATTAAGAGAGAATTATATGAAGATGCACCACAGATGGTATATGGCACCAGACACACTGGCAAAAATGAATAGATCAAATAGTAATAAATGCTGGAGATGTAATAGAATGAAAGGCACTCTATACCATATGTGGTGGACATGTCCAGAGATCAGAAAATTTTGGGAGATGATCCATGAAGAGATTAAAAAATTGATAAAAGTATCATATATCAAGAGGACAAAAGCATATTTACTAGGAATCTTGAGTAAGCATATCCCCAAAGACAAAACTAACATCTTTCTGTATGCAACAACAGCAGCGAAAATGTTGGTAGCCAGTCATTGGAAAGGAAATTATATCCCAACAAAAGGGGACTGGTTAAGTAAACTATGTGAGTACCTGGAGTTAGCAAAATTGACGGATTTAATAAGGCATAAATCCAAAACTATAATACAGAAACAATGGGAGTGTTAAATGAATATTTATACAAGCAGGGCTCAAATACGAAAGTTTGGCTATGCTTAGACTAAGCTTGTTAAGAATATAGAGAACATAAAGATTTGACGGATTATAAAAGAACCTAAGGAAGGGAAATGATTGAAGAACAGATGTAAAGGCAAGCAAGATAACGAAGAGACGTGCAGTGGGAGGAATTCTGGAAGAAATACAGGCTAAAGAGTTGGAAGAAACTTTGAGAACCTGGCTATGCTCCACCTCCATCGTTCTGCCCGGACACTGAGGTCCAGCGCCGAGGGCCTTCTGGCGGTTCCCTCGGTATGAGAAGCCAAGTAACAGGGAACCAGGCAGAGGGCCTTCTCGGTAGTGGCACCCACCCTGTGGAACGCCCTCCCATCAGATGTCAAAGAGAAAAATAACTACCAAACTTTTAGAAGACATCTGAAGGCAGCCCTGTTTAGGGAAGCTTTTAATGTTTAATAGGGTATTGTATTTTAGTGTTTTGCTGGAAGCCGCCCAGAGTGGCTGGGGAAACCCAGCCAGATAGGCGGGGTATAAATAATAAATTATTATTATTATTAGTAGTAGTAGTAGTAGTAGTAGTAGTACTCAAGGAGTTAGTCTGAAGGCAGAAAATGTGGAACGAGCCCATTGCTGCCGAGGGCCTAAGGGGAGAAAATCCCCCAGGAATGTAATAGTTACATTTTCTAGAGAGAAGCTGCAACAGCAGGTATACCAGACTTTGAAGGAAATTAAAGAGTTGAGTTTCCAAGGGAAAAGAGTGTGGGTGAGTCGAGATGTATGCCTGGCTACTTTAAGGCAAGAAAGCCCAGTGAAACCTTATGCACAAAAACTGCATAATAACGACATAACATAAGGTTTTACAGCCGAATTTTATAAGGAAATGGTAGAAATTTTGGCCCCGGAACTACAACAACTTTTTAACAGTATACTAGAAGGGGAAAAGGCCCCAAAAAGCCAAATAAAAACACAATTTCTTTTAGCAAAAACAAAAGAACCAGATATAAACTCCAAAATCAGCCCTGAGTGCTCACTGGAAGGACAGATTGTGAAGCTGAGGCTCCAATACTTTGGCCACCTCATGAGAAGAGAAGACTTCCTGGAAAAGACCCTTTTGCTGGGAAAGATGGAGGGCACAAGGAGAAGGGGACGACAGAGGACGAGATCGCTGGATAGTGTTCGCGAAGCTACCAGCATGAGTTTGACCAAACTGCGGGAAGCAGTGGACAGGAGTGCCTGGCGTGCTCTGGTCCATGGGGTCACGAAGAGTTGGACACGAATAAACGACAAAACAACAACAATCACCTGAGAACACTGCAAACAGAAATGGAAGGCTTTGATTACAATGGGGGGATGCAAATTAGCAGCGGAACAGTGAAAACAGAAGAAGGCTTTGATTACAATGCAGGGAAACACAAATTAGCAGCACAACAGTGAAAACAGAAGCTCAGGAGCACGTTCGGCTTCCGAAGCAAAGTTCACAAGCTGGAACACTGACTTCCAGGTTTCCAGCATTCAAGTTCAAAGTTGTTCAGGAACTAAGCTGTTTGAAAACCGCCGTATACAGATATGGTTGCCATATGTCCAGAATTGTAAGCAGCGTCTGGGCGGAAATTGCTGAAATGTCCGGGAAACTCTGGACTTATGACAGCCCATGTCGCAAGCGTAGATTTTGGCAAACTTCACTTGAAATAGATACGCCCCCCCCCCCGTTCCTTCAAGCCCTCATAAGGCTTGGTTTCAGACCCTGGATCATCTTGATTGACTCCTCTGCATCATCTTCATGAAGTTTTCCCTTAGCATGTAGCTAGCTGTAAACCTTAAATTTACTTTCCACAGTTGTTCCCATAAAGCAAAGTCAATGTTTTGTCCTACATCTCTGGCCCAGCTTCTCATTCATGATTTTATCATTTCATTCTTTGTATCTCACTCCAGTAACATTTAGATCATATTTTAACCCTGGAGCTTAATAACTCCCTTTCAAACTGTGAATTTTGTTCTGCAAACCCGTTTTAAAAAATCTGACTTAAATATTGCATTCAACTGATGGTAAATTGACCAGTCTCCCTCCCACTTAGAGGAAGAAGTTCCCTTTACAGGGATCCCACATACAATAAAGCAATACCACACGGCCCTAAACCTAACCTCCCAATACATCGACCTCAGCGGGTATTGGTCTTCTGTGTCAAAGTTTTACTGGACGTTTGGACAATATTGGCGAGAGCACCTGTAATCTCAGGGTCACCACTTCCCCTGGAATAAGAATCACTTCCGTCCAAACCAGTAAGTATGTCTGTAATTATGACAATCTGACCAATGCCTAAATGACTTAAGCCCTATATCGGACACCTCTCCATGGGTTCCCCCCCGAATATAGAGCATGGTCCAATCCCCTGGACATTCTCAGACTTACAGAAGTCCTTCTCAAGGTCTTGAAGGAATCTGAAGAGGTGATTCAAGCAACACAAAAGGAGATTTCTCCTAAAGAGCAGGAAGAACTTTCTGATATTAAGAGTCAGCAGTGAAAAGGAACTCCCTCAGAAGGGGGTGGACTCTCCTTCATTGGAGGTATTTAAGAAGAAGTTGGATGGCCATCTGTCATGGATGCTTGAAATGAGATTTCTGCATTGGCGGGAGTTGGACTAGATTCCGAATCTACCATTCTATTATTCACCCTGCTGTGAGTTCTTGAATTGACTTTTTTACGAGTGAAATTTTATCCACATTCCATGCGCTGATATGCTTTCAACTCTGTATGAATTATTTGGTGGGCCATGAGAGTGGCACTCTGACTGAAGCTCTTCCCACATTCCAAACACTAAGAGGTTTTCTCTCTTGTATGAATTATTTGATGGGAAGCGAGATTCTGGCTCTGACTGAAGCTCTTCCCACAATCGAAGCACTGATATGGTTTCTCCCCTGTATGAATTCTTTGATGGGAAGTGAGATGTGATTTGTGACTGAAGCTCTTCCCACATTCGAAGCACTGATAGGGTTTCTCCCCTGTATGGATTCTTTGATGGGAAGTGAGACTTTGGCTGTGACTGAAGCTCTTTCCACATTCCAAGCACTGATAGGGTTTCTGCCCCGTATGGATTCTTTGATGGGAAGTGAGACTGTGGCTGTGACTGAAGCTCTTTCCACATTCCAAGCACTGAAAGGGTTTCTCTCCTTTATGAAGTTTTTGATGGGAAGAGAGATTGCTGCTCTGACTGAAGCTCTTCCCACATTCCAAGCACTGATAGGGTTTCTCCCCTGTATGAACTTTTTGATGCGAAGTGAGCCTGGACTTTTGAATGAAGCTCTTCCCACATTCTAAGCACTGATAGGATTTCTCCCCTGTATGTATTCTTTGATGCAAAGTGAGACTGTCCTTTCGACTGAAGCTCTTCCCACATTCCAAGCACTGATAGGGTTTCTCCCCTGTATGAATTCTTTGATGGGAAGTGAGACTATTGCTGTGACGGAAGCTCTTCCCACATTCGAAGCACTGATATGGTTTCTTCCCTGTATGAATTCTTTGATGGGAAGTGAGACCCTGCCTCTGACTGAAGCTTTTTCCACATTCCAAGCACTGAAAGGATTTCTCCCCTGAATGAATTCTTTGATGGGAAGTGAGATTTGAGCTGCAACTGAAGCTCTTCCCACATTCCAGGCACTGACAGGGTTTCTCCCCTGTATGGATTCTTTGATGGGAAGTGAGACTCTGCCTGTGACTGAAGCTCTTTTCACATTCCAGGCACTGATAGGGTTTCTCCCCTGTATGAATTCTTTGATGGCAAGTGAGTTTTGAGCTTCGATTAAAGCTCTTTCCACATTCTAAGCACTGATAGGGTTTCTCCTCTGTATGAATTCTTTTGTGGATAGTGAGATCCCCATTCTGACGAAACCTCTTTCCACATTCCAAGCACTGATAGGGTTTCTTCCTGGTATGAATTCTCTGATGACAAGTGAGATGTATGATTTGATTAAAGCTCATTCCACATTCTAAGCAATGATAGGGTTTCTCCCCCGTATGAATTCTTTGATGGGAAGAGAGATTTCTGCTCTGACTGAAGCTTTTCCCACATTCCAAGCACTGATAGGGTTTCTCCCCTGTATGAACTTTTTGATGCGAAGTGAGCCTGGACTTTTGAATGAAGCTCTTCCCACATTCTAAGCACTGATAGGATTTCTCCCCTGTATGTATTCTTTGATGGCAAGTGAGACTGTCCTTTCGACTGAAGCTCTTCCCACATTCCAAGCACTGATAGGGTTTCTTCCCTGTATGAATTCTTTGATGGCAAGTGAGTTGTGCGCTTCGATTAAAGCTCTTCCCACATTCCAAGCACTGAAAGGGTTTCTCCCCTGAATGAATTCTTTGATGGGAAGTGAGACTCTGCCTGTGACTGAAGCTCTTTTCACATTCCAGGCACTGATAGGGTTTCTCCCCTGTATGAACTTTTTGATGCGAAGTGAGACTGTCCTTTCGACTGAAGCTCTTCCCACATTCTAAGCACTGATAGGGTTTCTCCTCTGTATGAATTCTTTTGTGGGTAGTGAGATCCCCATTCTGACGAAACCTCTTTCCACATTCCAAGCACTGATAGGGTTTCTCCCCTGTATGAATTCTTTGATGGGAAGTGAGACTCTGCCTGTGACTGAAGCTCTTTTCACATTCCAGGCACTGATAGGGTTTCTCCCCTGTATGAATTCTTTGATGGGAAGTGAGACTCTGCCTGTGACTGAAGCTCTTTTCACATTCCAGGCACTGATAGGGTTTCTCCCCTGCATGAATTCTTTGATGGGAAGAGAGATTTGAGTTGCAACTGAAGCTCTTCCCACATTCCATGCACTGAAAGGGTTTCTCCCCTGTATGAATTCTTTGATGGGAAGTGAGACTCTGCCTGTGACTGAAGCTCTTTTCACATTCCAGGCACTGATAGGGTTTCTTCCATGTATGAATTCTTTTGTGGGTAGTGAGATCCCCATTCTGATGAAACCTCTTTCCACATTCCAAGCACTGATAGGGTTTCTCCCCTGTATGAATTCTTTGATGGCAAGTGAGATGTATGCTTTGATTAAAGCTCATTCCACACTCTAAGCACTGATAGGGTTTCTCCCCCGTGTGAATTCTTTGATGGGAAGTGAGATGATCCTTTCGACTGAAGCTCTTTCCACATTCTCTGCAGTGATACAATTTCTCTCCTCTGTGAATTCTTTCATGTGAAGTGAGGCTATCCCTCCGAATGAAGCTCTTTCGTTGATGGGAGGTGGACTGGGAGCTCTGGCCGATGTTCTCTCCATACTCTGAATATTTATTTGATTTCTCCGATATGTGGATTCTGTTGTGGTCCCCCTTGTTCTTCCCTTCCCATTCATCACCATCTGCAATGAAGAGAGAAGATAAATATCGCCTCAGGAAGAAATGGAGCTCCAGATTATTGAACAGAGTTCCCCGCCCCCCCCCAACTCACTAAGTGACGAGAGTGCTCCATTTCAGCCTCAAGAGGACATCCTTGAAGTGTAACTTAACGGCATTGTAGATGTGTGGCATCTTCAATCCCCCAACATTTGAGTACACCTGAGGGGTGCCTGACTCTCTTGAAAACAATGGGGTGCCATTGCCAGCATACTGTGACCGGGGCGCAGATGACACACAACCATCAAACCCACCACCTGACCCCTCCCCCAGCAATGCACTGCCATGTTAGGGTAAGTCGTGCTAACTCTGCATCGCTGCCCCGGACCCCAACCCCACTCAGAGCGAAGGGGACGTGGTTCACATCCATTACTGAACAAAGTTAATGAATGCTTGTGATAAAGGAAGGACTGAAGTTAGATGTGAGGCCTTACAATAGTTTTCACTGCCTTTGTTGGCTGATATTAACTGACATATTGCTTGGCTTTTATCTGGGATAGATTTGATTTGGCTCAATCCTGGAATCCACCCCATATGCAAGGTCGGTCATCTCTTTGGTCAATCAAATGCAAACTTCCCTAAAAACTCTCAAGCCCACATTTAAGAAGGCCTGGGTGGTTCAGACAAGCCTGGTCATTGTTTCAAAAGGCATGACTAGACAAAGAATATTCACAAACAGTTGATATCCCTCCATTCAGGGCTCACGGTGTGGATGTTAGAATCCCAGATGCTGTGGGTCTCCTTCCAAATAGTGGAGGTTCATCAAATAGAGCAGGGCTGTCCAACAGGTCGATCACGATCTACTGATAGATCCCTGCGAGGTTTTGGTCAATCGCAGTCAATCGCTGACCCCCTCCCGGATCCTCCCTCCATTGTTGGAGAATGGAAGACAGAGCTTACAAACCGAGGCTGGAGGCTGTTTCCCCCCCAGCGCTCCTTTGGTGAGTTGCTAATAAAAGCTCAACAACTTTGACCTGAACCCCTACAAAACAGGGGTAGATCACTCCAAGTTTTGAATTCTGTGAGTAGATTGCAGTCTCTTGGAAGCTGGCCACCCCTGAAATAGAGGTACAGTGGTACCTCGCAAGACGAATGCCTCGTAAGAACGAAAAACTCGCAAGACGAAAGAGTTTTTCGTTTTTAGAGTTGCTTCGCAAGACAAATTTCCCTATGGGCTTGCTTCGCAAGACAAAAACGTCTTGCGAATTTGTTTCCTTTTTCTTAAAACCAGGCGCATTGCTTGAAGAAGTGCAGTTCCGTGCTTCGCAAGACGAAAAATTCGCAAGACGAAGAAACTCACAGAACGAATTAGTTTCGTCTTGCGAGGCACCACTGTATGCATGGAATTTCAAAATTGATGTTATGCTCTAACAGGGAATTTTAACGAGAGGGTCCATGATCCCTCAATTCTCCTTCTTGACTTCCTTACGAAAAGCTCTCTTGTCAGGATCCAGCAACGTCCCTGCCTCCTCTGAAACAAGCAGGAACATCTTCACCTGCACACTCCCCATCAGCTGTTGCCTCAATCTAAATTTGGTCTAAATTTAAACCTTTTTCTAAATATCTTTCTTCACTTTGAATCTCCTCTCATTTTCATGAGGAGACCAACTCTGTATAGTTTAATTGGTAACAGAAGATGGAAAATGACTATTACTCACACTTAATCTAAGCCCAACGGCCACAAGAGCTTCTGACTAGGAATTCGGCTATGCGATGTTGAATGTTCTCTGTTCTCCGCTGTTTACCCTTTTTTGTTTCAATTTATACCAATTCATGAACCCAGAACTCATACACTGATCATCAACGAGGAACAACATGTTATTCCTGCAAATTTATTTAGTCTACATATTTGTATCATATATTAGTCTTATATGATCCTTGTTTTTAAAAGAAAATGAAAAGTAATTTCTAAAAGAAAAGAAAAAGGGAAAACACAGAGGCCCCATCGGCAATCAGTCCTGAAATTAGGATCAGGTAATTTAAAGAATCATGGCTTCTAGTGCTGCGCAATGGATCGGTGAGTTCTCTGACATTGGTAGGGCATTCAGAGCACAGTACTGGCGCCAATACATCGTGGTAGCCGGGGAGCTGTGATGTATTCCTAGCTCAAATTCCCTGCAGATGTCAAAGGCGCTGGAAGGCAGGTGGAGGAGCCCAAAAAGGTGCTCACCTTCTCAATCTCCATCCGCCTGCCTGCCTCATCCCACCCCCAAGCTGAGCAAGCCCCAGTACCTCTCCAGCCCCATCCATCCATGTCCCCATCTCCCCTCCCCTGGCACTCACCAGATCCCTCGGAGGTCCCTGGGAGGGAACGCTCAGAGGCTGTGAGGAGGGATGCAGGAGACAACCTGACCAGGTCAACTGTCCATCTTCCCCCTTCCATCCTCGCTAGGTTTACAGATTCAGTCTCTTTCATCCTTCCTGAGGAGTCAAGAAGCCACCACAAGCTGCAGGGTCCTGGGAGAGAGGAAGAAACAAAGGGAGCCTCAGAGGCCCTGCAGGGATTCTCCTGCCCTAGATATTCCCCTGCTCCTGAAGAAGCACAAATGGGGCAGCCCCTTCCCAACAGAAACCCCATTTGAAACATCTACAATGATTCCAACTTAATCTGTTTGCACCTCACCCCACTTCGTAAGGCTGACATGGTATGCACAGTAGTGACTGAGAGTGGACCCCATTGAACTCAGTGGGGTTATGGATAGAACTTGGTGCAAAAACCAGGCACCATCCTGTCCCCCAAGCCTGAAAACTGGAACCCCAGAGCATCGGCAGAATACAGCCGAGTAGCTATTACATGTAGGTGCCCCCACGACTCAATGCAAGAGATGACTTAGCAGTTGAGCTGGCTGGGCCCCAAACCTCTTTCTGCTCATCATTAGAGCTGCTGAGAGACCCTTATTCACGCAAAATGAATTATTTTCCTTATTCACGCAAAATGGAGTGATTTTTGGTTGTGCTTTCTTTAGAGAAGCTCTCTTTGGAGGAGGGCCCATGGCACTCAGGGAGAGACCAGAAATTTTGTAACCACTCTAGGTCAACACCATCTTTTCCCTTAATTCCTTATCATGTTTCCTTATACCATTTGTAGCAATTAAAGCTTTTCTAACTTTAGTCTGCAGCAACTTCTGTGTCATTCACTTAGTGTTCTGCAGAATGCAGAGGCTAGACTGATGACTGGGAGTGGCTGCTGGAACCATGTAAGACCACTCCTAAAGGATCTACATTGGTTTCCAGTATGTTTCCAAGCAGAATTCAAAGTGTTGATGCTGACCTTTAAAGCCCTAAACGGCCTTGGCCCACTATACCCGAAGGAGCATCTCCACCCCCATTATTCAGCCTGAACACTGAGGTCCAGCACCAAGGGCCTTCTGGTGGTTCCCTCAGTGCAAGAAGAGAAGTTACAGGGAAGCAGGCTGAGGGCCTTATGGGTAGTGGCGCCCTCCCTGTGGAACACGCTCCAATTAGATGTCAAGGAGATGAGTAACTATGTAACCTTTAGAAGACACCTGAAGGCACTTCCGGGTTAGCGCCTTTGGTAATGGCGGAATTCCTCTGATCGGGAGCAATTTGCCTCGTGGAAATCGGGTCTGGCCGCCACGGCGAAGGCGGAGACCCATCAAAAATCACAGGCGGGTGAAGCCTGTGAACGTGGGATTTGGCGGGCACCTTTTGCGCCTCCCCTACTCACGGGGAAACCCGGTTTCGGGGATCCGGAGCGACGTGGGGTGAGCGGCGCGGTGCTTTGAATCGACTGCTTCTTCCACGGAGCGAAGCCTCACAGCCGTTGCCGGAGAGCGCTGACTTTTTCCTGTGGACAATTTGATCTTAAAGCAACTACCCGTGAGTAGAGTGAAGAATTGGATTTTTAAAAAGACTTAATTTGGCACCGAAACGGGGAGGCTCAAAACAGGAAGTCCGCCTTCCCCTTTTGTAAATAGACTGAAGCAAAGAGGCTGCAAGCTAAAGTCTTGGAAAGCCTACTGTAAAGGACTAAATTTCCAGCAGTGAAAAATATTAAACCCCCCTTGGAAGCGGGAGAAGAGGGGGGAAGTTCTGGATCGTATATGCCTGCAAGAGAGAGGGAAGGAAGTTAAAATACCACCGCTCAGAACCTGGAAACGGGCTGCCAATAAGACTGATGTACTTTGGAATGTTTATTGACTGTGAATAGAACGTTCGCTGACAGCTAGCTAAATAAGAGAGATACATTGTTTTAACTGTCTCCGTCTGATCTCAAAAAGGAGTAAAAGTAGCTGAAAACTGAAACTAACTTTATTGTTTGAACTGTGTCTTAAAAGGCGACATTACGGATTAATACAAATACAAATAGCAACTGTTTCCCCCTAGAGGAAGCTTTTGAAACTGTTACAAGAGCTGGATTAGGGGAATTTCCAGCTGTAAGATAAAAATTGTGTGACTGTGGGACTGACCTTGAATTTCTTAAGTGTTATGGCAGATGGAAAGGAAAAAATAGATCCGTCAGAACCTACAGGGTATGGGGGTAGGCCAAGGCTTTGAAAACAGTATAAGTGCAATTTATTCAGAACAAAAGGCTAAATTAATTGTAAATAATGTGGTGACGGAAGAATTTAAGATAGAAAAAGGGACACGACAAGGTTGCCCAATTTCCCCATTGCTTTTTATTTCGGTCCTGGAGGTTTTGCTGAACATGATTAGAAGGGACCAGTTGGTTAAAGGTATACAGGTCGGAGCCAAACAGTACAAATTGAGAGCATTTGCAGATGACTTAGTACTGACGTTACAGGAGCCAGAATCTAGTACCAAGAGGGTTTTAGAATTGATTCAAGAATTTGGTCAAGTTGCAGGATTTAAATTGAATAAGGTAAAAACTAAGGTTTTAGAGAAAAATTTAACACCAATAGAGAGAGAGAGGTTTCAGAATGAGACAGGTTTAACAGTGGTTAAGAAAGTTAAATACTTGGGGATCAACTTGACAGCAAAAAATGGGAATTTATTTAAAGATAACTATGAAAAATGTTGGGCTGAAGTGAAAAAAGATTTAGAAATTTGGTCAAATTTGAAGCTTTCACTGCTGGGCCGTATTGCTGCGGTTAAAATGAACATATTGCCAAGGATGCTGTTTTTGTTTCATACATTGCAAATCTTGGACAAAATGGACTGTTTCAAGAAGTGGCAGAGAGATATCTCTAGATTTGTCTGGCAGGGCAAGAAGCCTCGAATAAAATTTAAGATATTAACTGATGCTAAAGAAAGAGGTGGATTTGCCCTGCCAGACCTTAAACTTTATTATGAATCAGCCGCTTTTTGCTGGCTGAGAGAATGGCTGCTTCTTGAAAACACTGATGTGCTGGACTTAGAAGGTTTCAACAATGTATTTGGTTGGCATGCATATTTGTGGTACGACAAAGTTAAAGCACATAAAGCGTTTAAAAACCATATTGTCAGAAAAGCACTGTTTAATGTCTGGATAAGATATAAGGATTTGTTAGAAAATAAAACCCCAAGATGGTTGTCACCGATGGAAGCGAAGGCTCAGAAAAAACTCAATATGGAGGCCAAATGGCCGAAATATTGGGAAATTCTGGAACAAGAGGGAGACAGAATAAAACTGCAGAACTTTGAAAAATTAAAAAATAGAGTGTGAGACTGGCTCCATTACTACCAAATAATGGAGGCATATAATTTGGACAAAAAACTTGGCTTCCAGGTGGAAAAATCAAAATTGGAAACAGAATTGTTAGATCCCAAAACTAAGAATTTGTCAAGAATGTATAACTTGCTGTTGAAATGGAACACTCAGGATGAAACGGTGAAATTTGCTATGATTAAATGGGCACAAGATGTTGGACACAACATTATGATGGCTGACTGGGAACAGTTATGGACCACAGGTATGAAGTTTACGGCATGTAATGCCTTAAGAGAGAATTTAATGAAAATGATTTACAGGTGGTACATGACACCAGTCAAGCTTGCAAAAATTTATAACTTACCTGACAATAAATGTTGGAAATGTAATGAGACTGAAAGTACATTCTTTCACCTTTGGTGGACGTGCCCAAGGATTAAGACATTCTGGGAGATGATTTATAACGAAATGAAAAAGGTATTTAAATATACCTTCCTGAAGAAACCAGAGGCCTTTCTCCTGGGCACGGTCGGCCAACTGGTGCCAAAGAAGGATAGAACTTTCTTTATGTATGCTACAACAGCAGCAAGAATACTCATCACAAAGTATTGGAAGACACAAGATTTACCCACCCGGGAAGAATGGCAGATGAAGTTGATGGACTACATGGAACTGGCAGAAATGACTGGCAGAATCCGGGACCAGGAAGAAGAGTCGGTGGAAGAAGATTAGAAAAAATTTAAAGACTATTTACAGAAATACTGTAAAATTAATGAATGTTAGAATGATGTTGGATTGAAGTTATATGGCTTTAGCAGAAATGTTGCAAAGAATTAAGTAAAAATAGATTGTTAATGGATTAAAGGGGAAAATAAGGCTAGATTGTGTTAAGATAAATTATAGGACAGAAAACTGAGGAAGATGGAAAGGATTTGCTGAAACAGCTAACTGAACTGGAATACAAAAAAGTGAGGTGTCAGGAGGTCGATGAAACAAGTAAATGAAAGATAAGATACGGAATTATTGGATGTGTTTTTAATTGTTTTTTGTTTTTGTTTTGTTAAGATTAGTGTATAAGTAGTGTTTTTGTTTTTTTGTATTGTATTGTATTGTATTGTATTGTTTAACTTTTTTCCTCTTTTTGTAATCTTTAAACTCTTAACAAATATTATTAAAAAAAAATAAAAATAGAAGACACCTGAAGGCAGCCCTGTATATTATATGTGCTGGAAGCCGCCCAGAGTGTCTGGGGAAACGCAGTCAGATGGGTGGCAGGTAAATATTATTATTATTATTATTCACACAGGATGCTGATGGTGTTGCAGCTTCACCCCAGTGCCTTGCCAGGGCAGGAGGGGCTTGGTCTTCCTAAAAATGTTGAGCTGAGCAAGGCTGGATGCAGCTCCTGCTCCCAAGAGTGGCACATGCCAGTCTGTGCACTTCCTCAGCTGGGAGGGGGCAGATGTTTAGCTGCTGATCCATCACAAGGTTGGAAACCAGATCTCACCTGGCCCTAGTGACTCCTCCCAAGAATCCTGGGAGCCAGAATTGGTTCAGGACCCTGAGAGTTGCAAGGAGACAGCTTCAGCCCTGCTGCCCAAAGACTGCAATTCCCAGAGTGGTCACCAATCCACCCTTCTTGCCAGGGAACTCTGGGAATTGTATTTGAGTAGATGGTGGGAGAGGGTCTCCCCTCCAGTCTCCACACTTGGGGGGGGGCTGTATCTCCCCACTCCACAGGGCTTCTCCTTCCTCGGAGTCCTTGGATGCTTCTCTGTGTTATGAAATGCGACTTTCCCCTCAATCTGAAGGGGGCTTATTTGCATGCCCTCTTTTTGTTGCCCCAAAGACTCCTCCCCAAAAAGGAAGGCAGCATCTTGATCCAAAGGAAGAACAGAGTTGCAGACCTGCTGGACACTCAGCCCCTCCCTGGCTTGGCAGAGAGGAACTGGGGGCAGGACCCTCTGCTCCCTGACTTGGGGGTCTCCCCCCCTCCATGCATGAGCCGAACGGGGGGCCCCTTGCCTCCTCCCTTGCAGCCCTGGGACCCCCTCCTTCCCGCTGCACCCCAAGGGGGAAGAGAGAAGAGACTCACCAGAAGTTTTTGCAAAGCAGAGAGAACAAAGCAGCCTCCTCTTTGCTTGCAGGAAGGGACTGGGCAGGGAGGGGCTTCTGCTCGGGAGGACCCTGCCCTCCCCTTCCTGTCCTCTCTAGGAATCCCGCTCTGCTCCTTTTAACCCTTGGCAAGCCGAGGGCACCGAGACCGCCCTCCCTCTCCCTGCCTGCTTCTGCGCTCTAGGGCTGCCCTCCCTTCTCCATCTGGGCCAAGGACTCTGCATCAAGGGCCCCCCCCCCATCTTATTGCAGACTGACGACAAGCGAGGTGGGGGTTTCTGCATTCTGCAGTGTGAATCTTGATCCCTACTTTGAAATGACTAAAAAACTGAATGTTAAAGGGCCTCTCGTGGAAGCGCCTTCCCTGGGACCCACCGGCAGGGTACGTGGGATCCGGCTGCGAAGTTGGGGACCTGCAGGGTCTCCTTGGAAGTCTCCCCCCCCCCTCCACCCACCCGCGTTTCTCATTTCCTGGGGGGCCAAGAGATGCTCCCCTGCCCTGCACCCCCAGGGGCCCCTTTGCGGAAACTGACGTGCGATGCCCACCAAAGGGAAGGCGAAGGTGAAGGACCCCTGGACCTTTGACCGCAGACAGCTCCCCCCCCTTTCTTCCCCACACCAAACATAACCACAGTTTTGAAAATCCTCCATACTCTGGGCATGTGCAGATTTCGCAGCTTTCTGTAAACCAGAGGCAGGGAAGAAGTGGACAAAGAACCACCTTGCAGAAAAGGGGCCTTGTGGGCTGAGGTGCAGGATCCCTGAGGATCCAGTACAGGAAGAACTGAACAGGGAAGAACTGCCCCCCCCCATCATAGAGGGGGGTGGCACCCCCACCTGAATCGCAGAAATAGACTCCCGGAGGAGCGAGCAAGGGAGGCGGATGGGCAGAGAGGACAAAGAGATGAAGATGCAGTGATGGGGAAGGGAGGGGCCCCCAAAAAGGGTCCTTACTGGGCCCCGGATCTATGCATTCCAGCTGCAAAGTGGGAACCCAACACCTGCAGGGGTTGCCTGGCAGGATGAAGCCCCTCCCCCCTCAGGAGATCACCCTCCCCCCACGCACAATATCACTGGAACATTCAAAAGGTAAAGGACCCCCTGGACGTTTACGTCCAGTCAAAGGCGACTGTGGGGTTGGGGCGCTCGTCTCCGCTGTCAGACCGAGGGGCCTGGCGTTTGTCCACAGACAGCTTTTCCGGGTCACATGGCCAGCAGGACTAAACCGCTTCTGGACTAAAACTCATAGGGGCCAAGGTCCCGTTGTCCCCCCCCAAAAAAAGTTGATTGACATTAAAATGGTGAGGGGTGTGTGGCATCATCTCATCCATTAGACTGGGAGGAAGAGGGTGTGGGGAGGGAAGCCCAGCCAAGCATTGCCAGGGGACGGTTGGGGGCGATGATACAGAATTTCCTGGAGGGGCTCCAGAGCATCTTCCTCCTGCTCAGGAATCTGCTTGAAGCAAAGCGGGGGGTGTCCTATTCCCACTGCACCCCTTTCCTCCAGGGAGGTTGGATTCATGGAATCCTAGGAAATGTCAGAGCCAGCCAGCCAAAATCACAGAGAGCATGTGATGAAGCTAACTCATTATTAGCAGAAACAAGGACTGCTCCAGGGAGCCAGGAATAGTCAGCACTCAACTCTTCTCAGTAGTTGCAGAGATCCGGGTGGAAGAATCTGGAGCCCAGCCCTTTGCGGTTCTGACGCACAAGAGCCAACTCCTAGGGGCTGATCGGCTTTGCCAATAAAATATTTGTGGGGTCCTGGCACCCCCAAATTTAACGGGCCCTGCCATTCAAATAGTGTGTGTGCACGGCATCATATGATCAATTCTGCTGGACAGTGATTGCCTGGGCCCTCCTATTATTTTATTCAAGTCGGCACATCTGCTGAGAAGTAAGCCAACTCAGATCAAGGTGCTTTTGGAAAAAACTATTTTTTCTGGATCCATTTCAATTGGGTTTTAGGCCCAGTTTGGGCTCAGAAACTGCTTTGGTCGCCCTGTATGATGATGACCTCTGTCGAGAGAGAGATAAAGGAAACATGTCCCAGTTCATTCTTCTCAACCTGTCAGCGGATTTTGATACCACCGACCATGGTATCCTTCTGGAGCGACACTCCAAACTAGGAGAGTTTGGCATGACTTGGTACATGGGGAGTGTTTTTCAGCCCCATGCAACCTTCAATGTGGGGTTCCTCAGGGCTCAAGCTTATCCCCCAGGTTGTTAAACATCTACATGAAACTTCTGGGTGGGGTTATCTGGAGGTTTGGAGTACGTTGTCAGCAGTATGCTTATGACACTCAGCTCTGTTTCTCCTTTACATCTGCAGGTGAGGCAGTGGAAGTGCTGGACCAGTGTCTTGCCTCGGTAATGGACTGGAGAGCCAACTAACTTAAGCTCAATCCAGATAAGACCGAGGCACTGTTAGTGGGTGGTTCCCTAGGCCACCTGCTCTTCACGGGGTCACGTTTCCTCCGAAGGAGCAGATTCACAGCTTGGGGGTACTCCTGGAGCCTTTGCTGTCGCTCGAGGCTCAGGTGGCCTCGGTGGCCCAGAATGCCTTCCATCAGCTTCTGTAGTAGAAGTAGAAGCTGTGAGGATACTTTCTACCTGGGTCTCATTTCAGTCAGGAAGGCAAAGATCTAGAAAGAGAAGAATCCCAAACCAGTTATGAAGGGTGTGGTGACCCCCTGGGTGTTCTATACTGTCAGAAGTACCTCAGGAGCGTGGAAACTGACAGAGAGCACCACCTTGTTTAAGAATCAAAATATTAACTTCCGGTCAGCGCCATTAGCTAATGGCGGATTCCCTTTGATCTCAGAAGGAATCAGCTCCGCGAAAAATGGGTCCTGAGCGCTGCGGCGGAGCGGGGACCCTCAGAAATCGCAGGCGGTGAAGCCTGCGAACGTGGGACTCGGCGGGCACCCTTCAGCGTCCCCCCAACTCACGAGGAAGCCCTTTTCGAGGCTTCGGAGCGGAACGGGGGAGAGGCGTGGTGCTGTGAGTCGATTGCTGTTTTCACGGAGCGAAGCTGCGCTGCCATTGCTAAAGAGCGCTGATTTCTATCCTGGAATAATTGGAATTCAAAGGACTACCCGTGAGTAGGCGGAATTGGACTGCTAAAAGATTGTGAATTGGGCTTAACTTTAAAAAAAAAAGGACTGATTGAATTGGAAAGGAAAAATAAGGACTGAATTGGCCACCGCGGCGGGAGGTATATCCAGGAAGTCTGCTTCCCGTCTTGTAGATAGTGTAAAGCATAGAGACTTTGAGCTAAAGCGTTGAAATTAAGCTTGAAAAGAGCTGTTTTCCGACTTGAGAACTTTCTCTGAATCTACCCTTCTGAAAGCAGGCAAGGAAGTGGGTTGTTTTGGACTGTGTAAAGCTGTTTAAAGAAAGGGGGAATGATCTGCCAGTGAGACGTCTCAGCTGTCAAAAGCTGTCAAAAGAGATCTGCTGACAGTAAGGTGGATACACTGTGGCCAGCTTTGTTGGAAAAATAACTGGAAGGTAACTTAATTGGAACTGTTTCTTTTTCTCTGACTACAGTTTTTTTGTTGTTGTTGTTGCTCTAAGAAGGAAAGTGACTTCTTTGGACTGTTGTAACAGTGTCCACCTAGGGGGACTTTCTGAAATTGCAACAAGGGAATTTTCCACTGGTAAACAGGAATAGCCTATCTGAGAGTGACCTTGGTTTCTACATTGTTATGGCAGATGGGAAAGAAAAACTAGACGCGTCAGTTTTGAGGTCTGGGAAAGCCTGGGGGCACCGAAGGCAATCATCTGCTGGTTTGCCTACGACAGCAACACAAACTAAGTCCAGTGGAACGGCAGAAGAAGTTCTAGCTAATGCTTTGGCCAGGATTAATGAAACTTTATTACAACTTAGTACAAAGGTTGATGAGACGAATAAAAAGGTTGAAGAAACAAATAAGAAAGTTGATACTGCAAATAAAAAAATTGATTTAAATACAGAAACATTAGATAACTTGGGGAAAAAGGTGAATAGCAATACAGAATCCATTCAGAAATTATTGCAGGAGTTGAAGTCGACACAGGAAAAAACTGCTGCTGTGGAATTTAAAGTAGAGCAGCTGGAAACTGAGAAGGTCCCTGGCCTACAGAAGGAAATCGCAGATCATAAGTTGACGCTGTCTATGATCGAATTGAGAGAGAAACAGACCAATCTAAGAATTAGAGCTATTCCTGAGTTGGAGACGGGCACCATGACAGATTTTTTGACACAAGAATTTGCAGAATTTTGGAAATCGGATTTGAAACAAGAAGATTTTAAGATCATGAGGACCTTCAGACTGGGAAAAGGAGGAAAAAAGATTAAAATAAGGGATTGCTTGATTACCCTCCGATCTAAAGAAGAGAGGGGCAAAATTTTGGGTTTGCATTACCAGAAACCTTTGATAATTCTGCAATCAAAAGTGGAAATTTTCAAAGACATACCGAAACATCTTTTGGATTTAAGACAAGACTTTGGAGACTTGGTGACCCTGCTGAGAAAAAGTAAGATCCTCTTCAGGTGGGAATTCCCTCAAGGCCTATCTTTTAGTTTTAAAGGAAGAAAGATAAAGATAAGATCAGTGGAGGAAAAAAATAAGTTCTTGAGCACATACGAAGAAGATCTACAGAAAAGACTTGGAAAAGAGCTTGCCGCATTGGACAAGAGTCTACAAAAAAAAGGGAAATCAACGCCAACGACAGATATAGACAACCTGTTGGGGGGTGTTGGGGGAGAAGGAGAGTAACTACATCATGACACTGCAAGTATTAAGCTGGAATGTTAATGGACTGAACTCCCGGGAAAAAAGGGGGAGAGTATTTCATATATTAAAAAAAGATCATTTGGACTTGATTTGTCTACAAGAAACGCATGTGACAAGGCTTCATCGGAAAATTTTGATCAATAAAAGATTGGGAGAAGAATTTATCTCATCAGACAATGTGAAAAAAAGAGGAGTAGTACTTTATGCAAAGGAAAGCCTGTCACCGAAATTTTTATTTAAAGATGACCAAGGAAGATTTATTGCAATTGAAATACAGCTCCATGGTCAGAAGTTTTTGACATTAGGCATTTATGCACCAAATGAGGGAAAATCAGAATTCTTCAAGAAACTGCATGAAATCCTATTGGACTATCTGGATTACAATATAATTTTGATGGGAGATATGAATGGAGTAGTGTCTACAAATATGGATAAAGCCCAAAGACAAACGGTGACGAAAGATGGCAGACTACCAAAGACGTTTTTGAAATGACTGACAATATGGATCTTGTAGATATTTGGAGAACAAAGAACCCCTTGGAAAGAGAAGGAACCTTCTTCTCTGAAGCTAAAATGACATGGACAAGAATAGACCAAATTTGGATAACTAGGGGACTGGCCCCGAAGATAAAAAAAGCGGTAATTTGCCCTAAAATTTGCTCTGATCATAATCCAGTGAAGATGGAAATGACATTAATGCCAATTGGATCTTACAGATGGAGGATGAATGACTCCCTGCTTAGGAATGAGGAAATTATCAAAAAGGCCCAGAAAAACTTGAGAGACTATTTTGAGATAAACATGAACACTACGACCGAAAAAAGAGTGATTTGGGATGCAAGTAAAGCAGTTATGAGAGGGTTCCTGATACAACAAAATGCAATTAGGAAAAGAGTCCAAAATGAGAAGAGGGAAAAAATCTTGGAGAAAATAAAGGATGGAGAAAAGAGACTGAGGATAAAACCGAATTCACAGGAGATTTTAAAAGAGATAAAGTTGTATCAAGTACAATATATGAAACTGACAAATCAGGAAATAGAATGGAAGATCAAACAGATGAGACAAAAGACATTTGAATCAGCGAACAAGTGTGGGAAACTGCTGGCATGGCAAATGAAAAAAAGACAAAAGCTTAATACTATTACGAACTTGGTAGTAGAAGGAAAGAGCATACAGAACCCTGCGGAGATCAGAAAGTGTTTTCAGAAGTACTTTAAACAGTTATATACGCAGGAGACTCAGAAAGAAATAGACATTGATCAGTTTTTGAGAACAAATGGATTACAAAAAATCTCTCAAGAGAGTAAATCAATGCTAAATTGTATAATAACTGACCAAGAGGTGGAAGGAGCCATTCAGGACATGAAATTGGGCAAATCTCCAGGGCCAGATGGTCTGACTGCAAAGTATTATAAATCTTTGAAAGAATGGTTAATGCAGCCTTTGAAAGAAGTTTGCAACGAAATATTAGGGGGGGGAAAGGCACCCGAGTCGTGGAAAGAAGCTTATATTACACTTATACCGAAAACAGAAGCGGAAAAGACACAGCTTAAGAACTACCGTCCCATATCTCTACTTAATGTGGATTACAAAATTTTTGCAGAAATTATGGCTAAAAGATTTAAAAAGGTATTGGCGAAAGAAATCCATAAGTACCAAGCGGGCTTTCTCCCGGGGAGGCATTTGTCAGATAACACGAGGAATATAATTAACATTTTAGAAAAATTACAAGTTAATATTAACACTAAAGCAGTTCTAATATTTGTGGATGCGGAGAAAGCCTTTGATAATATTTCTTGGAGTTTTATGAAGAAAAATTTACAGGGAATGGGGGTAGGCCAAGGCTTTGAAAACGGTATAGGTGCAATTTACTCGGAACAAAAAGCTAAGTTGATTGTAAATAACGTAGTTACAGAAGAGTTTAAGATTGAGAAAGGAACAAGACAGGGTTGCCCAATCTCCCCATTGCTTTTTATATCGGTCCTGGAGGTTCTGCTTAATATGATCAGGAAAGACCAATTGGTTAAAGGTATACAACTCGGAGCCAAACAGTATAAATTGAAAGCTTTTGCTGATGATTTGGTTTTGACATTACAGGAGCCAGAATCCAGTACCAAAAGAGTATTGCAATTAATTCAAGAATTTGGTCAAGTAGCAGGATTTAAGTTGAATAAGGTGAAAACCAAGGTGTTAGAGAAAAATCTTACAGAGATTGAGAAAGAGAGGTTTCAGAAGGAGACAGGATTAATATTGGTTAAGAAAGTGAAATATCTAGGGGTCCGTATGACTGCTAAAAATGTGAATTTATTTAAAGATAATTATGAAAAATGTTGGATGGAAGTGAAAAAGGATTTGGAAATATGGTCAAAATTGAAGTTATCATTGTTGGGCCGAATTGCTGTGATAAAGATGAATGTATTGCCTAGGATGTTGTTTTTGTTTCAAACATTGCAGATTTTGGACAAGATGGACTGTTTCAAGAAATGGCAGAGAGATATTTCGAGATTTGTCTGGCAGGGCAAGAAGCCAAGAATAAAATTTAAGATTTTAACTGATGCTAAAGAAAGAGGTGGATTTGCCCTGCCAGATCTTAAACTTTATTATGAATCAGCCGCATTTTGCTGGCTGAAAGATTGGCTGCTTCTTGAAAACACGGACATTTTGGATTTAGAAGGTTTTAACAATGTCTTTGGATGGCATGCATACTTATGGTATGACAAGGTTAAAGCACATAAGGCCTTTAAGAACCATATTGTCAGGAAAGCATTGTTTAATGTCTGGGTGAGATATAAGGATTTGTTGGAAAGTAAAACACCAAGGTGGCTGTCACCAATGGAGGCTAAGGCTCTGAAAAAAACTAATATGGAGACAAATTGGCCAAAATATTGTGAAATCTTAGAACAAGATGGAGATAGATTAAAGCTGCAGAGCTTTGACAAATTAAAAACTAAAGTTCGAGACTGGCTTCATTACTATCAAATAAGGGAGGCTTATAATTTAGATAAGAAGATTGGTTTCCAAGAGGAAAAATCAAAATTGGAAACAGAACTGTTAGATCCTAAAACTAAGAATTTGTCAAGAATGTATAACTTGCTGTTGAAATGGAATACACAGGATGAAACGGTTAAATCTGTTATGATTAAATGGGCACAAGATTTTGGACATAACATTATGTTTGCTGACTGGGAACAGTTATGGACCACAGGTATGAAATTTACGGCTTGTAATGCCTTAAGAGAAAATATAATGAAAATGATTTACAGGTGGTACTTAACCCCAGTCAAGCTAGCAAAAATCTATCATTTGCCAGATAGTAAATGTTGGAAATGTAAAGAGACTGAGGGTACATTTTTCACCTTTGGTGGACATGCCCAAGGATTAAGGCTTTCTGGGAAATGATATATAATGAATTGAAAAAGGTATTTAAATATACCTTTCTGAAGAAACCAGAGGCCTTTCTTCTGGGCATGGTCGGCCAATTGGTGAGAAGGGAGGATAGAACTTTCTTTATGTATGCTACAACAGCAGCAAGAATACTCATCGGGAAGTACTGGAAGACACAAGAATTGCCTACCTGAGAAGAATGGCAGATGAAAGTGATGGACTACATGGAACTGGCTGAGATGACCGGCAGAATTCGAGACCAGGGAGAAGGGTCGATGGAAGAAGATTGGAAAAAATTCAAAATATACCTTCAAAAATACTGCAATATAAAAGAATGTTAGAAAGAGGTTGGAAAAAGAATATTAGGTCGTTCTGGTAGATATGATATAATGGACTAAGCAAAAATGAGTTGATGAAATTGATGAAATAGAGGAGGTTTAATTACATTATTTTAATTTTAAAATACGTAAATGAAAATAAGGTTAGAAGGATTTGCTGGAAACACGATCTGAACTAGAATACAAAATTGGGAGGTGAGAGGAGGTCATGGAAATAAGTAAAGGGAAAAGGCTAAGTAAAGGTTTAATCTGTTTTTGTTTTATTTTAACTTAATGTATTTTTATATTTTTTGTTAAGTCTTCTTTTTTATTCTATTTTATTGTTCTTTTTTACTTGTTCATTCTACGCTTTGTTACGGTTAAAGTTTTCTTTGTATTTTGTATGGTTTTTCTTTTTCTTTTTTGTAACTTTAAATTTGGAATAAATATCATTTAAAAAAACAAAAACAAAATATTAAGTTGCAACAACTAAGTTAAGGAGCTGAAGTGAAATAACTGGAAATAAGCTCAGCATTGGCCATCCTCTCTAGACACCTGTAACATCGAAGAGGAATAACTTTAAAAAAGCAACAGAAGTTTAAAAAAGCTGTGCATTTACTACTTTGTTTACAAGCATGTAACACACACTAAATTTAGTACAATTTATTAATAGGTTTACTGTTTCCTGAAAGAACATTATCTATCTCCTGACACGTCCTTTGCTTTTTTCAACTTTGTTCTGTAAAATAAATCTTTCTTGTTTGTTCAACTTCTGCCAGAGTTTCCAAGGATCTTTGTTTACGTTCACACAGAAAGATAATCCTATTTTTATTTTAAACTATCCCAATAATAATTGGGACAAAATATTTTAAAAGCTGGCAAAGAGACCTTGCCAATTTTATATGGCAAGGGAAGAAAGCCAGAATAAAATCAGAAATAATGATGGGGCCAAAAGAAACGGGGGCATTTGCAGTCCTAGATTTAAGAAGATATTTTGTGTCCGAGCCAGCCGTCACAAATGGCGCAGTTTAGCATAAAATAAAGACACAGAGAGCCAGCAATATTTTCAGGATGGTATGAGCAGCTCCTTTCGAACTTCTCTTCTCTCCCGTAACTTTTATTATCCTTTGTTCTCTCCTCTCGCATGGCCGTTTGCCAATGTCTCACATTACCTACATCCGGTCATGTCTTAAACCCACCCATCGCCATATAGGGTCATGCACTTAATACACTGCAAGGCACGGACATGCAGTCACCGAGGTCAGCGAGGCACCAGGTGGCGCTACAAGCCTTTTCCATGACTTCCTGGCTCCCACATGTCCTCTTTCTTTATATTTTTAATCAGAGTCATATATATCAGTACCAATACGGTTATATTGAGCGTGATAGGCGACTCTTGTGAGGCCAGAAGCAGGCCGTTGACGGGAGAACCATGCAGTACATATAGAAATTAAAGAAGGAATACATTGTATACAGCAACACAAAATAATGCAAATAACTACTATAATGATCACTAAAATCAATAAATGTCGAAGCCAACTTCCATTCGGAAGCCAAGAATATAACCATGCCCATGGATCAACGGAAGGCGGAGGAGCAAACGGATTGTGAGCTACCATGGTTTCCATATGATCAATCGTCGCAGATATGCTGACATTATTATCGGGAATAAACATACAACAATGAGAATGAACAAGTGCACAAACTCCTCCTTTTGAGGCTAAAATCACATCCAAGGTATAACGATTCTGTAAAACCACAGCTCTCATTGCAGACACCTCCTGGTTGAGATTCTTCAAAGCTTTTATGGTATCATTGAATAATCCTTCAGTCCAATTTGCTAGCCGATGGAGGTCCCTATAGTTCATTGCTGCGCCCACTGAGGGCAGCAAGGCCCGAGAGATCTGGGTACCGATATATTGGTTTAAGGGCGGATTAACCTCCCGACGATTTCGTAGTCTAAGAGAAGATGGTAACTTATCAACCTTATACAACAATGGAACCACGAGACCCAATGTACATGTGCCTGTGAGGTTTCAAGGAATGGCTTTGTATGCTTTTTCGCCACAAAGCAACCATAACTCTCTTTGGAGTAAATAGCTGATATTACTACTCTGTTGGGACCAATTAAAGGCTGCAGTAAATAAGGAACTGATATGAAATTGCTCATCTGTGGCATTTGCTAAGCCAGGGATAGAAGAATTCAGACTCCAATTTGCATAGTAGGATTCTTTCCTAGTTTTTAGCCATGCACTGGTATCGCTTCTATAGCACTGAGATTGGTCATGTATGTTCCTGTAAGAGAACAAGAGCTATTAAAAGTGAAATTCAATGTATATTGACAGTTTGGATATATGCCCCATGATTCTTTCCCCTCTTTAATTTGAAAACAAATGGGGGCAGGCTCATGGAGGGTCAATTGTACTGGAGGCCAAAAAGTTTGCTTAGGGGATATAATATTAGTAAATTGAAAAGATCCATTGACAGGCACACCATGAAGCATTATGCCGGAATGACTGGCATACACACCCAACATTTAGAAGCATGCAATAAACTGGTAAACATAATCATATCTTGTACAAAAATATTATCCCTCCATATCTTATGATAATTTTCTCCCCTAAAAGTCTTATTCAACAACGCTGTTCTTCTAGTTCGAAAGTGGCTGAGCCGTGCATACTGCCAGCCAGAGTAAGATTCAGACGACAGCTGCTTGCCAGCCGATAAGGTGAAATATGGTGGTTTCAACTGGACTGGGTCGTCTGCTTCTCTTCCTTGTATAACGGTGCAGCAAAGGATGGCAAGGCAAATGGTTAGGAAGGCGCTTCCGCGGTTGAGGAGGCTCACCATGGCCGCACGCATCGAGCTGGAACCCACAAAGGCTTATCCTCAACGTCCACTGCCGCGTACCCTCATCCCCACGTGATCAGCGGGACAGGTCCATGCCACGCGGGATCAGGCAAGCGTCGGTACACCACCAAGGGGCAGGGGAGTGCCTCCTCCTTCCTAAAATGCAATTCAGCGGGGGTATGGGTCCTAAGATGTGGATATAAAAGACGGTTAAGTACAAAAAGAACTTGGTGAACTGCCGAAGGGATATCTGCTGTTGGTATGCTTCGGCCGCCAAGCTGTTTAAGCAATAGTGTTTTGAACGTCAGGTGTGCTGTTTCCACTATCGCTTGCCCTGTGGAGTTAAAGGGTATACCATGAGTTAATTTCACATTCCACAACATACAAAATTCCGAAAATGTTTTAGAAATATATGCTGGACCATTATCAGTTTTGATACGCGCAGGTTTACCCATGACTGAGAAACAGCGGATAGTGTGCTGAATGAAATGCCGAGCTGTTTCCCCCCTCATGGGCGTAGCCCATATGAATCCAGAGTGGGTGTCCACCGTGAGGTGAACCTTGGAGAGTGGAGCCAACACAGGTGTGTGTGTGACATCCATCTGCCAACACGCCAATGCAGACGTGCCCCTAGGATTGACAGCATCAAAAGGAATGGCCAGCTGAGATTTAGAACAAGAAGCACAGTGGGAAACTATATCCCTTGCTTGGGCCAAGGGAATAGAAAACTGCTTTGCCAATGCTTTCGCAGGAAGGTGAAAGGTGTTATGACATAGTATAGGATCAGAAAAGAGAGAAAAGGCAGAAATGTCCCTCAAAGCCGCATCTGCTCTTGCATTGCCCTCTGCTAAATACCCTGGGTGCGATGTGTGGGAGCGAAGATGTGCAACATAATAAGGGAACTCTCTGTGCTGAAGTAAGGCCTGCAGGGCAAGAAACAAGGAAAACAAGTCAGAATCCAAGGAAGGAGTTATATAAGATATTGGTAAAATAGCAAAAAGGCGATATACATACTGAGTATCCACAATAAGATTGAAAGGTTGAGTAGGAAAGGATTGAAAGGCAAGACTCACAGCCGCTAGCTCAGCTCGCTGAGCAGAAGACTGTGGGGGGTAAATAAACATTTCCATTGTCCTCCCTCCTCCCATGTCACTACCCCCCTACTTCTTGTTCCATCTGTGAAAAGGGTCAATGCAGAGGGGAGAGGTGTGAGAGACAAGGGGGGTAGCCAAAACTTAGGTGACCTGTGTCAGAAATGTCAAACGGTCATCCTTTGGAGGGTTAAAAATGATGACACCTATAAAATCAGCCAAGGCAATTTGCACGGCAGCATTAGTTATGAATAAATGCTGCTGTTCAGTCTGTGAGAAGGGAAGATATATTGATGCAACATCAGAACCGCTCAAAGCTACAGCACGTGAACGTCCTTTGATAACAATGTCTGATGTGGATTCAATTACGGAATAAATGTTTTTTGGTGGGGTGTGCGGTAAATGTAGCCATTCTATAATGCAGATAGTCTTCTTCTTTTCCGTCTGAGCATATAAAATTCCTGTTGGCAACAATGGTGTAGCAAACACTGCCAGATGCAGCTCGTGTGCAGAGGCTTCTGTGATCCTGTCCAGGAGGATAGATCGCAGGTGCTGATTAACGGTTTGTAATGCAGTGATCATTGCTGAAGTGACCTGGATTACATCTGCTGGATCCTTGTGTCCTGCGAGCGCTGAGAACAATGGTGATAGTGTGCTGGTAGGTAATGCAAGGAAAGAGCGAGCCCAATTCAAATGCCCAAGAAGTTGTTGTAATTGCACAAGCTTCATGTTTGAAGGGATAGTCAGTTGGGGAACAATAGGCAGCGCTGCTTGTGCAGAGACTTTATGTCCCAAGTAGGTGGCGGGCAACGTCAATTGAATTTTTTCAGGCGCTATACAGAGTCCCGCTTCCGCTAATGTGGCAGAAAGTTCTTGAAAAATGCCAGGCGGGAGTTCCTTAGCAGCGATTAAAATGTCATCCATGAAATGATAACGTAAAACCTCTAGGTGGCGCCTGCAGAAAGGTTTCAATGCTTCACCCACAAAATGTTGACAAAGTGTAGGGGAGTTCCGCATGCCTTGAGGCAGGACAACCCACTGATATCGCTGGGTGGGCTGCGAATTGTTATATACTGGCAATGTAAAAGCAAACCGTTCCCTGTCTGCTGGAGCCAGTGGGATAGAAAAAAAAACAATCCTTTAAATCAATCACCGCCAACTGATATTCTCGTGGGAGCATATTTGGATTTGGCATGCCAGGTTGTAAAGTTCCCATTGGCTGTATCTGTTGGTTAATTTTCCTCCTATCCTGCAAAAGACGCTATTTGCCTGATTTTTTCTTAATAACGAAAATTGGGGAGTTCCAGGGAGATGAGGACGGTTCAATGTGGCCAAGGGTCGATTGTTCAGAAATAAGCTGGGCCGCCACTGCTAATTTTTCTTTTGGTAGAGGCCACTGTTCTACCCATACTAGGGTAGTGGTGATCCATCGTAACGGCAGTGCGGTGCGTGGAAGTGCAGGGGTGGCCCTTAGAATAAATTACTCCAATTTGATGTCTGCAATAGCCAAAATATCGCGCCCCCATAAGGAGACTGGAATGTCCATTATTAATGGATAGAGGGTGATCTGAACCCCGCTATCGCTTTGGATGAGTATTGGGTGGAGACTGCGCCGTGCCTGTGATTCACCTCCCACACCAATAACTTGTGTGGCTGGACAGGTGGGCCAACTGGAAGGCCAAGCAGATTTTGCCACGACTGTTACATCCGCCCGTGTCCAGAACTCCTTCAATGCGTCGACCTCCCACTGTCAGAGACACAGAAGGGCGCGAGGCTGTAATGTTCATGGCTGCTGCAATTAGGGGTAGTTGTTCGGATGGGGAGAAAATTATAATCTTCACTACAAGCCTTTTCCATGACTTCCTGGCTCCCACAATTTTGAAGCAGCGTGCTGGAGTTGGATGAAAGAGTGGATGTTACTAAAAGATACTGAAGTTTTGGAACTAGAAGGCTGGGACAAAATATTATCATCAATCTTTGTTACGGTCCAGAGACCCAACAAATCGTTACAAAGCAATACACAATTCATACAGCCTACCTCCAGGTTAAACAAGCATTTTGTTCAGAATATAGGGATTATTTGTTCTTGCAACCACCGACAGAAACTTTGCCACTGCTAATGTTCTAGCATTTGTCCGGTCTTCCAATAGGAACCTGACATAGCGAGCCTCTGATTTTCCTGGGAAAGGTACCAGCAAGGGTAGTGTCAGTTCAGCCCTGGCTTGCTCATATTTTGCACAATGCAACAAAATATGTTTTATGGAATCGATATCTTGAGCACACAAGCAAAGTCTGTCCTGGTAGGGAACTCCTCTCAACCTGCCATCCTGTTTTAGGGCAGCCCACCACGCTTTAGTTGAAATTGGGCATTCACCAGCTTCTAACAGAAGTATGGAGTTGGTACCGTTGGGCACCTGCAGCAGAGATCGTATAAATTTTGCCTGAAAGCCATCTAGCTTTGGCGGGTCCCCATTATGCCAGACATTTGCAGCGTTTTGCGTTGAAAACCCTTAAGGCTGCTGGTACATATTTGCCGCCCTTTGTGAAAAAGAATCTGATTATGGCTAGCTTTGTGATGTCCGCCTTTTGAAGGGAGGTTTGCCAGTGGTGCTTCCAAGATCCTGTATGATGGAATGTGAGCCCTAGATAACTGAAGTATTTGATCTGTTCAAGGTTATGTCCATCCAGCACCCATTTACACTGGGAGAAGCTTCTTTCGAAAACTAAAATTTTAGATTTTTCATAATTAATGGATAAACCATTTCCAGAACAGTAGTCAGAAAATTTCCTCAGCAGATAATTCAAACCCAGTCTGGAACGTGAGATGATGGCCGCGTCATCAGCATATAAAATAGCGTCGTTAGTGGTAGTGTTGACTTGAGCTCCACATCAGTTGATGCGGTTTTTATTATTTTTATCAGTCTTTTATTAGCTTTTATCAGTCGCAGTATTTTATCTTTGTCATTCGGCAGCTATTATATTCACAAAGCTTGAGTCAAGGGACAAAATATAGGGTTGGCATGGATATTTATTCTATGGGAAAATACAATTGCATAAAGGATTTCAGAACTGCTTTGTGAGAAAGGCCCTATTTGAGGTATGTGAGAGAATGAAAGAGAGAATTATAGAAAGAACTCCATGGTGGACCTCTCCAATAGAGGCAACCTCGACATTAAAAAAAAATTGCCTGGCCAACTTATAGAGATTTAGCAGAAGGAATGAATGAAAATATCAAATTAAAAGAATACGAAGAACTCAAAATACTGGGAATAAATTGGTTAGAATATTTCCAACTTAAGGCTACATATGAGAAAGATATAAAAACTGGGGGATTTGGGAATAAAATATCAAAATTAGAAAGAGAGGTTTACAAAATAATCAAAAAACACTCTCCAAAATATATAGATTATTAGATAAAGTCCTCCCAGATCAAGAAGTCAAAGCAGTGAATATTCTAAAGTGGGAACGGGATTTAGGATATACAATTGATTCTGAAGATTGGAAAAAGTTTTGGGGAAAAAATATAAATTTTACGGCTTGCTATTCATTAAGAGAGAATTATATGAAGATGCACCACAGATGGTATACGGCACCAGACAGACTGGCAAAAACGAATAGATCAAATAGTAATAAATGCTGGAGATGTAATAGAATGAAAGGCACTCTATACCATATGTAGTGGACATGTCCAGAGATCAATAAAATTTGGGAGATGATCCATTAAGAGATTAAAAAATTGATAAAAGTATCATACCGTATTTTTCGTTCTATAGGACGCACCGGTCCATAGGACGCACCTCGTTTTTTTGGGGGGGGAATGAATAAAAAAAATTATCCCCCCCCCCGCGGCTGCCGCCCCAAGCCTCGCGTGCTTCGGGCTGCAGGCTACCGCCCCAAGCCTCGCGCGCTCAGCGGGACCTCCCACCGGGCGCGCGAGGCTTGCAGACACTCGCCGAAGCACGGGAGCCCTCCGGAGGGCTCCCGTGCTTCGGGCGACAAGCTGCAGCCCCAAGCCTTGCGCGCCGGGCGGGACCTCCTGCCGGGCGCGCAAGGCTTGCAGACACTCGCCGAAGCACGGGAGCCCTCCGGAGGGCTCCCCGTGCTTCGGGCGACAAGCTGCAGCCCCAAGCCTTGCGCGCCGGGCGGGACCTCCCGCCGGGCGCGCAAGGCTTGCAGACATCGCCCGAAGCACGGGAGCCCTCCGGAGGGCTCCCGTGCTCGGGCGACAGGCTGCAGCCCCAGCCTTGCGCGCCGGGCGGGACCTCCCGCCGGGCGCGCAAGGCTTGCAGACACTCGCCCGAGCACGGGAAGCCCTCCGGAGGGCTCCCGTGCTCGGGCGACAAGCTGCCGCCCCAAGCCTTGCGCGCTGGGCGGGACCTCCCGCCGGGCGCGCAAGGCTTGCAGACACTCGCCCGAAGCACGGGAGCCCTCCGGAGGGCTCCCCGTGCTCGGGCGACAGGCTGCTGCCCCAAGCCTCGTGCGCTCGGCGGGACCTCCTGCCGGGCGCGCAAGGCTTGCGGACACTCGCCGGGGCTGCAGGCTGCTGCCTGCAAGCCTTGTGAGCCCGCGGGAACTCCCACCGGGCTTGCAAGGCTTGCGGATAGCTTCCTGAAGCCTGGAGAGCGAGAGGCATCGGTGCGCACCGACCCCTCTCGCTCTCCAGGCTTCAGCGAAAGCCTGCATTCGCTCCATAGGACGCACACACATTTCCCCTTCATTTTTGGAGGGGAAAAAGTGCGTCCTATGGAGCGAAAAATACGGTATATCAGGAGGGCAGAAGCATATTTACTAGGAATCTTGAGTAAGCATATCCCCAAAGACAAAACTAACATCTTTCTGTATGCAACAGCAGCGAAAATGTTGGTAGCCAGTCATTGGAAAGGAAATTATATCCCAACAAAAGGGGACTGGTTAAGTAAACTGTGTGAGTACCTGGAGTTAGCAAAATTGACGGATTTAATAAGGCATAAATCCAAAACTATAATACAGAAACAATGGGAATGCTTAAATGAATATTTATACAAGCAGGGCTCAAATACGAAAGTTTGGCTGCGCTTAGACTAACCTTGTGAAGAATACAGATAACATAAAGATTTGACGGATTATGAAAGAACCTAAGGAAGGGAAATGATTGAAGAACAGATGTAAAGGCGAGCAAGATAACTAAGAGACGTGCGGTGAATGCGGTGGAAGTCTTTTAAAATATTTTAACTAGGATTTATATATTGTAATGCTTGAAGGAGTCAAAATTAAGGGGGTGAAGCAGTTAGCAATTCAAGCTAAAGAGCTAGCCCAGGAAAATGAAAAAAAAAGTAACTACACTATCTAAACAGGGGGCAGAATTGCCGGACCCCCAGAGAACAGCTAATATGATTTTGGGAGGAATTCCGGAAGAAATACAGGCTAAAGAGTTGGAAGAAACTTTGAGAACCTGTCTATGCTCCACCTCCATTGTTCTGCCCGGACACTGAGGTCCAGTGCCGAGGGCCTTCTGGCGGTTCCCTCGGTATGAGAAGCCAAGTAACAGGGAACCAGGCAGAGGGCCTTCTCGGTAGTGGCACCCGCCCTGTAGAACGCCCTCCCGTCAGATGTCAAAGAGAAAAATAACTACCAAACCTTTAGAAGACATCTGAAGGCAGCCCTGGTTAGGGAAGCTTTTAATGTTTAATATCTTATTTTATTTTAGTGTTTTGTTGGAAGCCGCCCAGAGTGGCTGGGGAAACCCAGCCAGATGGGTGGGGTATAAATAATAATAAATTATTATTATTATTAGTAGTAGTAGTAGTACTCAAGGAGTTAGTTTGAAGGCAGAAGATGTGGAACGAGCACATCACTGCCGAGGGCCTAAGGGGAGAAAATCCCCCAGGAATGTAATAATTAAATGTTCTAGAGAGAAGCTGCAACAGAAGGTATATCAGACTTTGAAGAAAATCTGGGATATCATATAGTTAAAGGTATGTATAGAGGAGAGTCCTTAAAGTCATTGCAGGAAGTAATAGAGAATATAGGTAACCAATATTGGTTAAAAATTGGAGGACTATACAACAAAATTTCCAAAGTCCAAGAGACAGGAAATAGGAGTTTAGAAGAGCCAATAGAGGAACTATACAAACAAATGAACAGACAACCCAACTTATTCAAAAGATGTGGAGTAAGGAAGAACAAGTTAGCGAAGCAACGGTTGAAAGGATAATGAAAGGAACAGATGAGATTAAAGTAAGCAAATTTAGAGAGCTGAAATTAAAATTATTTCTAAAATGGTACAGAACTCCGGCCCAGCTTGCTAATATGGTAGCAGGATTGAATTCTAGCTGTTGGCACTGTAAACAAGTCAAGGGATGGTTTTCCCATATGTACTGGGAATTCCCAGAGGTAAGGAATTCTTGGGGGAAATCCTAAAGATTATTAATGAAATTTTTAAAGTGAAGCTTTCAATAGATTTTTATTTCATGACAATGGGTATACTTGGAAACATGGCAATAGAGAAAGGGGACCAGTTTACCTTCAAAGCTATGATACTAGCGGGAAAGGCAACGATAGCTTTAGGTTGGAAAGAGAGAGGAAAATGGACAGTAGAGGCATGGAATAGTTATTTGTTTGAATTTATTCAGTCGGACATTGTCGCAGTCATGTCACAGGAATCAACATGGAAGGTCAAGTCCACCATGATAAGGAACAGAGGGAACCCCTATCTTGAATGGATAAAAACTACTGGAACAAAAGACATTCGGTGGAAACTAAAGACACTATGCCTGTGGCTGAGGGTAATTGTTTGAACGCTTCCCATGGGTATGGGGCGGGGGAGGGAAAGGAAAAAATTGTACAGGAAATTTAAAAATTGGAAGGAGATAATATATGTATGCAAAAGATCCTGAACTCGAATAAAATAAAATAAAAATTTAAAAAAGAAAGTAATGCAAAACAGATTAATCAATTCCAGACTTTTAAAAACAACTCCTAAAACAGAAATTTAACATGAATTATACTATCTAACGAGACCATTGATCCATGAAATGAAAGCAATAATCAATGTACTGTACTACAAACTAAAGAAAACAGTACTGTAGATTAAAATTAAAATTATTTATTTTTCTTACCTGCACTGATGATAGACATTGTTTGGATGGGGGATTTTATACATTGCCACAGTCACACACTCAATCAAAAATGAAGAACAAGCCACAGTCACACACAAAAAGCCAAATAAAAACGCAATTTCTGTTAGCAAAAACAAAAGCACCAGATATAAGCTCCAAAGTCAGCCCTGAGTGCTCACTGGAAGGGCAGATTGTGACGCTGAGGCTCCAATACTTTGGCCACCTCATGAGAAGACTTCCTGGAAAAGACCCTGATGCTGGGAAAGATGGAGGGCACAAGGAGAAGGGGATGACAGAGAATGAGATGGTTGGATGGTGTTCTTGAAGCTACCAGTTTGAGTTTGACCAAACTGCCGGAGGCAGTGGAAGACAGGAGTGCCTGGCGTGCTCTGGTCCACGGGGTCACGAAGAGTCGGACACGAATAAACGACAAAACAACAACAATCACCCGAGAACACTGCAACCAGAAATGGAAGGCTTTGATTACAATGGGGGGGGGGTGCAAATTAGCAGCGGAACAGTGAAAACAGAAGAAGGCTTTGATTACAATGCAGGGGGACACAAACTAGTGCAACAGTGAAAACAGAAGCTCAGGAGCACGTTCGGCTTCCGAAGCAAAGTTCACAAGCTGGAACACTGACTTCCAGGTTTCCAGCATTCGAGTTCAAAGTTGTTCAGGAACTAAGCTGTTTGAAAACCACCGTATACAGATATGGTTGCCATATGTCCAGAATTGTAAGCAGCGTCTGGGCGGAAATTGCTGAAATGTCCGGGAAACTCTGGACTTATGACAGCCCATGTCGCAAGTGTAGATTTCGGCAAACTTCACTTGAAATAGATACGCCCCCCCCATTCCTTCAAGCCCTCCTCATAAGGCTTGGTTTCAGACCCTTGATGATCTTGATTGACTCCTCTGCATCATCTTCATGAAGTTTTCCCTTAGCATGTAGCTAGCTGTAAACCTTAAATTTACTTTCCACAGTTGTTCCCATAAAGCAAAGTCAATGTTGTGTCCTTGTCATTGATGATTTCATCATTTCATTCTTTGTATCCCACTCAAGTAATATGTTATACATTTTAGATACTATTTTAACCCTGGAGCTTAATAACTCCCTTTCAAACTGTGAGTTTTGTTCTGCAAATCCGTTTTTAAAAATCTGACTTAAATGTTACATTCAACTGATGGTAAATTGACCAGTCTCCCTCCCACCTAGAGGAAGAAGTTCCCTTTATAGGGACCCCTCATACAATGAAGCAATACCACACGGCCCTAAACCTATCCTCCCAATACGTCGAACTTAGCGGGTAAACTATTGGTCTGCTGTGTCAAAGTTTTACTGGACGTTTGGACAATATTGGTGAGAGCGCCTGTAATCTCACAGTCACCACTTCCCCTGGAATAAGAATCACTTCCGTTCAAACCAGTATGTCTGTAATTATGACAATCTGACCAATGCCTAGATGACTTAAGCCCTATATCGGACTCCTCTCCATGGGTCCCCCCCCCCCGAATATAGAGCATGGTCCAATCCCCTGGACATTCTCAGACATACAGAAGTCCTTCTCAAGGTCATGAAGGAATCTGAAGAGGTATTCAAGCAACACAAAAGGAGATTCCTCCTAAAGAGCAGGAAGAACTTTCTGATAGTAAGAGACAACAGTGAAAAGGAACTCCCTCAGAAGAGAGAGGACTCTCCTTCATTGGAGGTATATAAGAAGAAGTTGGATGGCCATCTGTCATGGATGCTTGAAATGAGATTTCTGCATTGGCGGGAGTTGGACTAGATTCCGAATCTACCATTCTATTATTCACCCTGCTGTGAGTTCTTGAATTGACTTTTTTACGAGTGAAATTTTATCCACATTCCATGCGCTGATATGCTTTCAACTCTGTATGAATTATTTGGTGGGCCATGAGAGTGGCACTCTGACTGAAGCTCTTCCCACATGCCAAACACTAAGAGGTTTTCTCTCTTGTATGAATTATTTGATGGGAAGCGAGACTGTGGCTCTGACTGAAGCTCTTCCCACAATCGAAGCACTGATATGGTTTCTCCCCTGTATGAATTCTTTGATGGGAAGTGAGATGTTTTCTGTGAATGAAGCTCTTCCCACATTCGAAGCACTGAAAGCGTTTCTCCCCTGTATGAATTATTTGATGAGAAATGAGACTCTGCCTGTGACTGAAGCTCTTTCCACATTCCAAGCACTGATAAGATTTCTCCCCTGTATGAACTTTTTGATGCAAAGTGAGGCTGTCCTTTCGACTGAAGCTCTTCCCACATTCCAAGCACTGATAGGGTATCTCCCCTGTATGTATTCTTTGATGCAAAGTGAGACTGTACTTTCGACTGAAGCTCTTCCCACATTCCAAGCACTGATAGGGTTTCTCCCCTGTATGAATTCTTTGATGGGAAGTGAGACTCTGCCTGTGACTGAAGCTCTTCCCACATTCAAAGCACTGATATGGTTTCTTCCCTGTATGAATTCTTTGATGGGAAGTGAGACCCTGCCTCCCTCTGAAGCTCTTTCCACATTCCAAGCACTGAAAAGATTTCTCCCCTGTATGAATTCTTTGATGGCAAATGAGATTTGAGCTGCAACTGAAGCTCTTTCCACATTCGAAGCACTGATAGGGTTTCTTCCCTGTATGAATTCTTTGATGGGAAGTGAGACTCTGCCTGTGACTGAAGCTCTTTTCACATTCCAGGCACTGAAAGGGTTTCTCCCCTGTATGAATTCTTTCATGGGAAGTGAGATGATCCTTTCGACTGAAGCTCTTTCCACATTCTCTGCAGTGATACAATTTCTCTCCTCTGTGAATTCTTTCATGTGAAGTGAGGCTATCCCTCCGAATGAATCTCTTTCGTTGATTGGAGGTGGACTGGGAGCTCTGGCCGATGTTCTCTCCATACTCTGAATATTTATTTGATTTCTCCAATATGTGGATTCTGTTGCGGTCCCCCTTGTTCTTCCCTTCCCATTCATCACCATCTGCAATGAAGAGAGAAGATAATTATCGCCTCAGGAAGAAATGGAGCTCCAGATTATTGAACAAAGTTCCCCGGCCCCCAGCTCACTAAGAGACTTGACAGTGCTCCGTTTCAGCCTCAAGAGCACAGCCTTGAAGTCTAAATTAATGGCATTGTAGATGTGTGGCATCTTCAATCCCCCAACATTTGAGCATGCCTGAGGGGTGCCTGACTCTCTTGAAAACAATGGGGTGCCATTGCCAGCATACTGTGACCGGGGCGCAGATGACACACAACCATCAAACCCACCACCTGACCCCTCCCCCAGCAATGCACTGCCATGTTAGGGTAAGTCGTGCTAACTCTGCATCGCTGCCCCGGACCCCAACCCCACTCAGAGCGAAGGGGACGTGGTTCACATCCATTATTGAACAAAGTTAATGAATGCTTGTGATAAAGGAAGGACTGAAGTTAGATGTGAAGCCTTACAATAGTTTTCACTGCCTTTGTTGGCTGGTATTAACTGACATATTGCTTAGCTTTTATTTGGGATAGATTTGATTTGGCTCAATCCTGGAATCCACCCCATATGCAAGGTCAGTCATCTCTTTGGTCAATCAAATGCAAACAGAAGCCAAAACAACAAACCTGATAGAAGTTACTTCAACTTCCCTAAAAACTCTCAAGCCCACATTTAAGAAGGCCTGGGTGGTTCAGACAAGCCTGGTCATTGTTTCAAAAGGCATGACTAGACAAAGAATATTCACAAACAGTTGATATCCCTCCATTCAGGGCTCACGGTGTGGATGTTAGAATCCCAGATGCTGTTGGTCTCCTTCCAAATAGTGGAGGTTCATCAAATAGAGCAGGGGTGTCCAACAGGTCGATCACGATCTACTGGTAGATCCCTGCGAGGTTTTGGTCAATCGCAGTCAATCGCTGACCCCCTCCCGGATCCTCCCTCCATTGTTGGAGAATGGAAGACAGCGCTTACAAACCGAGGCTGGAGGCTGTTTTCCCCCCAGCGCTCCTTTGGTGAGTTGCTAATAAAAGCTCAACAACTTTGACCTGAACCCCTACAAAACAGGGGTATATCACTCCCAGTTTTGAATTCTGTGAGTAGATCGCAGTCTCTTGGAAGTTGGCCACCCCTGAAATAGAGGTATGCATGGAATTTCAAAATTGATGTTATGCTCTAACAGGGAATTTTAACGAGAGGGTCCATGATCCCACAATTCTTCTCCTTGACTTCCTTATGCAAAGCTCTCTTCTCAGGATCCAGCAACGTCCCTTCCTCCTAAACAAGCAGGAACATCTTCACCTGCACACTCCCCATCAGCTGTTGCCTCAATCTAAATTTGGTCTAAATTTAAACCTTTTTCTAAATATCTTTCTTCACTTTGAATCTCCTCTCATTTTCATGAGGAGACCAACTCTGTATAGTTTAATTGGTAACAGAAGATGGAAAATGACTATTACTCACACTTAATCTAAGCCCAATGGCCATAAGAGATTCTGACTAGGAATTCGGCTATGCGATGTTGAATGTTCTCTGTTCTCCACTGTTTACCCTTTTTGTTTCAATTTATACCAATTCATGAACCCAGAACTCATACACTGATCACCAACGAGGAACATGTTATTCCTGCAAATTTATTTAGTCTACATATTTGTATCATATATTAGTCTTATATGATCCTTGTTTTTGAACGAAAATGAAAAGTTATTCCTAAAAGAAAAGAAAAAGGCAAAACACATAGACCCCATCGGCAATCAGTCCTGAAATTAGGATCAGGTAATTTAAAGAATAATGTCTTCTAGTGCTGCACAATGGATCGGTGAGTTCTCTGACATTGGTAGGGCATTCAGAGCACAGTACTGGCGCCAATACATCGCGGTGGCCGGGGAGCTGTGACGTATTCCTGGCTCAAATTGCCTGCAGATGTCAAGGGCACTGGAAGGCAGGTGGAGGAGCCCAAAAAGGTGCTCACCTTCTCTTTTTTTTTTTTTAATAATTTTTATTAAGGTTTTAAGCAAAGAAAAAAGAAAAACAACACACACAAAGAACAATAACAATAAAAACACAAAACATAACAATTAAAAACAAACTCTCTTTTCCATTTCCAATTTTAAATTACTTATTTTCTGGACTTCCTCATACCTCCCTCTTTTGTATTCCAATCCACATTATTTATCCAGCAGTTTCTTTTCCACTTTTTTAATCCCAATCTTTAATTTAATAGAATATTAAAATATATAACTTCACTTTTTTAAACCTAATCCTTACTCTTAATGTCATATAGCTTTAAATTTTTCCCTTTTATTATCAAATTTCCATTTCTTTAAACATCTTTAATCTTAATCTTTAATCTTAATCTATCCTTATCTTTAACCTGTACAGCTGGAAACCACTTATTTTCAATCCAACATCACTCTAACATTCCTTAATTTTGCAGTGTTTCTGAAGATAGTCTTTGAATTTCTTCCAGTCTTCCTCCATCGACTCTTCTCCCTGGTCACGGATTCTGCCAGTCATTTCCGCCAATTCCATATAGTCCATAAGTTTCATCTGCCATTCCTCCAGCGTGGGAAGTTCTTGTGTCTTCCAATACTTTGCGATGAGTATTCTTGCTGCTGTTGTTGTATACATAAAGAAAGTTCTATCCTTTTTAACACCATTTGGCCGACTATGCCCAGGAGAAAGGCCTCTGGTTTCTTGGGAAAGGTATACTTAAATACCTTTTTAATTCATTATATATCATTTCCCAGAAAACCTTAATCTTTGGGCACGTCCACCAAAGGTGAAAAATGTACCTTCAGTTTCTTTACATTTCCAACATTTGTTATCGGGCAAGTGATAAATTTTCGCAAGCTTGACTGGGGTTATGTACCACCTGTATATCATTTTCATAATATTCTCTCTTAAGGCATTACATGCCGTAAATTTCATACCAGTGGTCCATAACTGTTCCCAGTCAGCAAACATAATGTTGTGTCCTACGTCCTGTGCCCATTTAATCATAGCCGATTTTACCGTTTCATCTTGAGTATTCCATTTCAGCAGCAAGTTATACATTCTTGACAGATTCTTAGTATTGGGTTCTAACAATTCTGTTTCTAATTTCGATTTTTCCACCTGGAAGCCAATTTTCCTGTCTAATTTAAATGCCTCCATTATTTGATAATAATGAAGCCAGTCTCGCACTTTGTTTTTAATTTTTCAAAACTCTGCAATTTCAGTCTATCTCCGTCTTGTTCCAAAATTTCCCAATATTTCGGCCATTTGACCTCCATATTGACCCTTTTCAAGGCTTTCGCTTCCATTGGTGACAGCCACCTTGGGGTTTTATTTTCTAGCAAATCCTTATATCTTATCCAAACATTAAATAACGCTTTCCTGACAATGTGGTTTTTAAATGCTTTGTGTGCTTTGACCTTATCATACCATAAATATGCATGCCATCCAAATACATTATTAAAACCTTCCAAATCCAAAATGTCAGTGTTTTCAAGAAGTAGCCATTCTTTCAACCAGCAAAAAGCTGCTGATTCATAATAAAGTTTAAGGTCTGGCAGGGCAAATCCACCTCTTTCTTTTGCATCTGTTAAAATTTTAAATTTTATTCTAGGTTTCTTGCCCTGCCAGACAAATTTAGAAATATCTTTCTGCCACCTCTTGAAACAGTCCATTTTGTCTACGATCTGCAAAGTTTGAAACAAAAACAACATTCTAGGCAATACATTCATTTTTATCGCAGCAATACGGCCTAGCAGTGAAAGCTTCAGGTTTGACCAAATTTCTAAATCTTTTTTCACTTCTGACCAACATTTTTCATAGTAATCTTTAAATAAATTCCCATTTTTTGCTGTCATGTTAATCCCCAAGTATTTGACTTTCTTGACCACTGTTAACCCTGTCTCATTCTGAAACCTCTCTCTTTCAAAAGATGTTAAATTTTTCTCTAAAACCTTGGTTTTTGATTTGTTCAATTTAAATCCTGCCACTTGACCAAATTCTTGAATCAGTTCTAAAACCCTTTTTGTACTAGATTCTGGCTCCTGTAACGTCAGTACTAAGTCATCTGCAAATGCTCTCAATTTATAGTGTTTAGTTCCGACCTGTATACCTTTCACCAACTGGTCCCTTCTAATCATGTTCAGCAACACCTCCAGGACCGAAATAAAGAGAAGAGGGGAAATTGGGCAACCTTGTCGTGTCCCTTTTTCAATTTTAAGTTCTTCCGTCACAACATTATTTACAATTAATTTAGCCTTTTGTTCTGAATAAATTGCACTTATACCATTCTCAAAACCTTGGCCTACCCCCATACCCTGAAGATTCTTCTTCATAAAATTCCAAGAAATATTGTCAAAGGCTTTCTCCGCATCTACAAATATCAACACTGCTTTAGTGTTTATGTTCACTTCTAATTTTCCAAGATATCAATTATATTCCTCAGATTATCAGACAAGTGTCTTCTTGGGAGAAAGCCCGCTTGGTCCTTATGAATCTCTTCCAACAGCACTTTTTTAAATCTCTTCGCCAAAATATCTGCAAAAATTTTGTAATCCACATTAAGTAATGATATTGGGCGGTAGTTCTTTAATTGTGTCTTTTCAGCCTCTGTTTTTGGTATAAGTGTAATATATGCTTCTTTCCACGACTCTGGTGCCCTCCTCCCCTCCATTATTTCGTTGCAGACCTCTTTCAATGGTTGAATTAACCAGTCTTTTAGGTGCTCACCTTCTCAATCTCCATCTGCCTGCCTGCCTCATCCCACCCCCAAAATGAGCAAGCCCCAGTACCTCTCCAGCCCCATCCATCCATGTCCCCATCTCCCCTCCCCTGGGACTCACCAGATCTCTTGGAGGTCCCTGGGAGGGAACGCTCAGAGGCTGTGAGGAGGGATGCAGGAGACAACCTGACCAGGTCAACTGTCCATCTTCCCCCTTCCATCCTCGCTAGGTTTACAGATTCAGTCTCTTTCATCCTTCCTGAGGAGTCAAGAAGCCACCACAAGCTGCAGGGTCCTGGGAGAGAGGAAGAAACAAAGTGAGCTTCAGAGGCCCTGCAGGGATTCTCCTGCCCAAGATATTCCCCTGCTCCTGGAGAAGCACAAATGGGGCAGCCCCTTCCCAACAGAAACCCCATTTGAAACATCTACAGTGATTCCAACTTAATCTGTTTCCTCCTCCCAAGAATCCTGGGAGCCAGAATTGGTTCAGGACCCTGAGAGTTGCAAGGAGACAGCTTCAGCCCTGCTGCGCAAAGACTGCAATTCCCAGAGTGGTCACCAATCCATCCTTCTTGCCAGGGAACTCTGGGAATTGTAGTTGGGTAGATGGTGGGAGAGGGTCTCCCCTCCAGTCTCCACACTTGGGGGGGGGCTGTATCTCCCCACTCTACAGGGCTTCTCCTTCCTTGGATTCCTTGAATGCTTCTCTGTGTTAAGAAATGCGACTTTCCTCTCAATCTGAAGGGGGCTTATTTGCATGCCCTCTTTTTGTTGCCCCAAAGACTCCTCCCCAAAAAGGAAGGCAGCATCTTGATCCAAAGGAAGAACAGAGTTGCAGACCTGCTGGACACTCAGCCCCTCCCTGGCTTGGCAGAGAGGAACTGGGGGCAGGACCCTCTGCTCCCTGACTTGGGGGTCTCCCCCTCCATGCATGAGCTGAACGGGGGGGCCCTTGCCTCCTCCCTTGCAGCCCTGGGACCCCCTTCTCCCCGCTGCACCCCAAGGGGGAAGAGAGAAGAGACTCACCAGATTCCAGGAGGGGCACTGAGGAAGCTTTTGCAAAGCAGAGAGAACAAAGCAGCCTCCTCTTTGCTTGCAGGAAGGGACTGGGCAGGGAGGGGCTTCTGCTCGGGAGGACCTTGCCCTCCCCCGCCCTCCCCTTCCTGTCCTCTCTAGGAATCCCGCTCTGCTCCTTTTAACCCTTGGCAAGCCGAGGGCACCGAGACCGCCCTCCCTCTCCCTGCCTGCTTCTGCGCTCTAGGGGCTGCCCTCCCTTCTCCATCTGGGCCAAGGACTCTGCATCAAGCCCCCCCCCCATCTTATTGCAGACTGACGACAAGGGAGGTGGGGGTTTCTGTTGATGATTCCACCTGAACCACTTTCTACATTCCATACATTTAAGTGGTTTTTCCCCTATGTGAATTTGCTGATGTTTCCGAAGTGCTCCATTAGTAATGAAGCACTTTCCGCACTCCAAACATTTCATAGAATCAGAATCATAGAGTTGGAAGAGACCACAAGGGCCATCGAGTCCAACCCCCTGCCAAGCAGGAAACACCATCAGAGCACTCCTGACATATGGTTGTCAAGCCTCTGCTTAAAGACCTCCAAAGAAGGAGACTCCACCACACTCCTTGGCAGCAAATTCCACTGTCGAACAGCTCTTACTGTCAGGAAGTTCTTCCTAATGTTTAGGTGGAATCTTCTTTCTTGTAGTTTGGATCCATTGCTCCGTGTCCGCTTCTCTGGAGCAGCAGAAAACAACCTTTCTCCCTCCTCTATGTGACATCCTTTTATATATTGGAACATGGCTATCATATCACCCCTTAACCTCCTCTTCTCCAGGCTAAACATGCCCAGCTCTCTTAGCCGTTCCTCATAAGGCATCGTTTCCAGGCCTTTGACCATTTTGGTTGCCCTCCTCTGGACACGTTCCAGTTTGTCAGTGTCCTTCTTGAACTGTGGTGCCCAGAACTGGACACAGTACTCCAGGTGAGGTCTGACCAGAGCAGAATACAGTGGCACTATTACTTCCCTTGATCTAGATGCTATACTCCTATTGATGCAGCCCAGAATTGCATTGGCTTTTTAGCTGCCGCGTCACACTGTTGGCTCATGTCAAGTTTGTGGTCAACCAAGACTCCTAGATCCTTTTCACATGTACTGCTCTCAAGCCAGGTGTCACCCATCTTGTATTTGTGCCTCTCATTTTTTTGCCCAAGTGCAATACTTTACATTTCTCCCTGTTAAAATTCATCTTGTTTGTTTTTGCCCAGTTCTCTAATCTGTCAAGGTCGTTTTGAAGTGTGATCCTGTCCTCTGGGGTGTTAGCCACCCCTCCCAATTTGGTGTCATCTGCAAATTTGATCAGGATGCCCTTGAGTCCATCATCCAAGTCGTTGATAAAGATGTTGAATAAGACCGGGCCCAAGACAGAACCCTGTGGCACCCCACTAGTCACTCTTCTCCAGGATGAAGAGGAACCATTGATGAGCACCCTTCGGGTTCGGTCAGTCAGCCAGTTACAAATCCACTGAGTGGTAGCATAGTCAAGACCACATTTTACCAGCTTCTTTACAAGAATATCATGAGGCACCTTGTCAAATGCCTTGCTGAAATCAAGGTAGGCTACATCCACTGCGTTCCCTTCATCTACCAGGCTTGTAATTCTGTCAAAAACGGGATCAGGTTAGTCTGACATGACTTATTTTTCAGAAATCCATGCTGACTATTGGTGATCACAGCATTCCTTTCTAGGTGCTCACAGACTGTTTGCTTAATGATCTGCTCCAGAATCTTCCCTGGTATTGATGTCAGACTGACTGGGCGGTAATTATTTGGGTCCTCTCTTTTCCCCTTTTTGAAAATAGGGACAACATTTGCCCTCCTCCAGTCTGCCGGGACTTTGCCTGTTCTCTAGGAATTCTCAAAGATGACTGCCAGTGGTTCTGAGATCACATCTGCCAGTTCTTTTAATACTCTTGGATGCAGTTCATCTGGCCCTGGAGACTTGAATACATCTAAACTAGCCAAGTATTCTTGTACTATCTCCTTAGTTATTCTGGGCTGTGTTTCCTTTGCTGAATCATTTGCTTCAAGTTCTTCAGGTCGGGCATTGTTTTCTTTATCGGAGAAGACTGAGGCAAAGAAGGCATTGAGGAGTTCAGCTCTTTCTGTGTCCCCTGTTTGCATTTCACCATCTTCTCCTCTGAGTGACCCCACTGTTTCTTTGTTCTTCCTTTTGCTACGGACATACCCATAAAAGCCTTTTTTGTTGCTTTTAACCTCTCTAGCAAGCCTGAGTTCATTCTGTGCTTTAGCTTTTCTGACTTTGTGTCTACACGTGCTGGCTATTTGTTTGAATTCCTCTTTGGTGGTTTCCCCCTTTTTCCAGTTTTTGTACACATCTTTTTTAATCTTAACTCAGTTAAAAGTTCTTTAGATAGCCACCCTGGCTTCTTTAGGCACCTTCCATGTTTCCGTCTCATTGGTATTGCCTGACGTTGTGCTTTTAGTATCTCCCTCTTAACAAACTCCCAGCCATCATGAACTCCCTTTCCTTTTAGTATTACTGTCCATGGGATCTCACCCAGCACTTCCCTAAGTTTTATGAAGTCAGCTTTCTTAAAGTCAAGAAATTGAGTCCTAGTATGCTTGGCTACTCCTTTCCGCTGTATAGTAAACTTCAGAAGAGCATGATCACTTGCGCCTAATGATCCTTCCACTTTAAAATATTTTCCCCATGTGTGAGTTTGCTGGTGTGTAGTAAGGTGTTCTTTCTGGCTGAACGACTTAAAACATGCATTCAAATGGTTTCTCCCGTGTGAGTTGGTTGATGTTTTGCATGGCTTACAGCATCAGCTAATGTCTTTCCACACTCCATACATTGTAATGGCTTCCACCGTGTGAGTTCACTGGTGTGAATGAAGGATTGTCGTCTGGCTGAAACACTTTCCGCACTCCATGCATTTAAAGGGTTTCTCCCCTGTGTGAGTTCGTTGATGTCTTCTAAGTTTTCCACCTGTAATGAAGCTCTTTCCACACTCCATACATTTAAAATGTTTTTCTCCTGTGTGAATCAGTTGGTGTTGTGCATGGCTTCCAGTATCAGCAAATCTCTTTCCACAATGGGTACATTTAAAGGGTTTCTCCCCTGTGTGAGTTCGCTGGTGTGTAGTAAGGTGTCCTTTCTGACTGAACGACTTTCCACACTCCATGCATTCAAATGGTTTCTCCCCTGTGTGGGTTTGTAGATGTCTAGTAAAATGTGAACAGTGTCTGAAGCTCTTTCCACACTCCATACATTTAAATGGTTTCTCCCCTGTGTGGGTTTGTAGATGTCTAGTAAGGCTTGCACTCTGACTGAAGCTCCTTTCGCACTCCATGCATTTAAATGGTTTTTCCCCTGTGTGAATCTGTTGATGTTTCATATGGCTTCCTGAATTAGCAAAAGTCTTTCCACATTCGGTACATTTAAAAGTTTTCTCCCCTGTGTGAATTCGTAGATGCTGTGTAAAGGTTCCACCTAGTCTGAAACACTTTCCACACTCCATGCATTTAAATGGTTTTTCCCCTGTGTGCATTCGCTGATGTTTTGCATGGCTTCCAGAATCAGCAAATGTCTTTCCACAATCAGTACATTTAAAGGGTTTCTCCCCTGTTGAGTTCGCTGGTGTGTAGTAAGGTGTCCTTTCTGAGTGAAGCTCTTTTCACACTCCATGCATTTAAATGGTTTCTTCAATGAAATTACAGGTGGATTTTTGGAATTCTGACTATTATTTCCATTACCTGCTTGGGGAGGAAAGAAAATCCTGTTAGGCTTCCAAGGAAGAGGAATAAGTAACATAACACACATCTAGTGAAAATAGCACCTCTTATTTCAATATCTCTTTATAATTTTATAATTTATAATTTAGAATTTATTATAATTTTTATTGGTTTTTACACATGATTTAGAACATAACATCAACTTTCATATAACATAATCAACTATCACAGTCTGAGACTTCCCTCTTCCACCACTAGTGGTTTTCCAACTTACTCTCTAGTATTGCATTTGTTATTATAATTATTACTGTTATATCCATATCTTAAATAAACAAATTAAAAATCATTCTTTGCAATAATTTGTATTCTTAACCTATTATTTTCCTTTATATTTCCAACATTGGTTATTAACTTTATACATTTTTGCTAACTTCACTGGTGTAATGTACCACCTATAAATAATTTTCATTACATTTTCTTTAAGCAAACTGCAGGCTGTAAAGTTTATGCCTTCTTTCCATAATTTTTCCCAATCCTCAAACTGTATATTATGACTGATATCTTTTGCCCAATGTATCTTACCTGATTAAACCTCTTCATGCTTGACATGCCATTCCAAAAGTAACTTATATATTTTTGATAATATCTTATTTCAGTATCTCTTTTCCTTTTCCTTTTCATGTTTCAGTTTTTTAGGAATGCAGCTAAAACAATGTCAAATTATAGTAATGTCAGGTCTTGTAATTTGAATCCATTGGTTCAGACCCTACCCTCTAGAGATGAAGAAAACAAGCTTGCTCCATCTTTATGTGACAGCACTTTAGATATCTGAACATAGATACCTAAAGATGGCATATCTCTTCTCAGTCTCCTTTTATACAGGCTAAGCATACCCAGCTGCCTCAGCCATTCCTCATAAAGCTTGGTTTCCAGACCCTTGATCATGTTAAGCTTGTGGTCTACTAAGGCCCTGAGAACCTTCCACCCCATTGTAATTTGATAATAATGCTACCTCTGGACTTTCGTTCAGCTTTAACCCAGTGATTTCTGTTATCTCCTTAAACACCCTTTGCCTTTAAAATTGTACATATTTACACCCCCACCACATTTGAACACAATTCTCGATTTCCTGGCATCCCTTCCAACATAACACCAAATACTCCTTATTTGATTTAATCTGACTAGTGTTAAATGCCATCTCAAATTAATTTATAATAATTTTATTTTATTCTTAAAGACAACATACGTTTCTCCCATCTTTCCCCCCCAGCTTTGATTATCTATCTGCCCTATTGTCTTCTTTCCCCACAACTCTTAATTTATCTTCTTGTTTCTTCCATTTCTAATGCCCGCATGTCTTTAATTTCAGCTCATCTGAAAGCTCCTTATGAAGCCACAACTGCTTCTTTATATACCGTATTTTTTGGTCTATATGACGCACCAGACCACAAGACTTTTTTGGAAGGAAGACCTGCTTGTCGAACTGATATATGGATTAATTATTTAGCCCCAGGGGGAGGTAAGCCTTTAATACCTTATTTTTTTGACATATTGCATTCCCAGTTTTACTTGGTAACCCTCCCCCAGAAAGGCAACTGAACAAAGAAGCAAGCTGGAGAGATTTTGGCTGCCATTTTGATCTGATCATATCTGGACTGAGTGTGGATTTTGGGCAGTCATCCTTACTGGGAAGATTGAAAGTTTTGGACTGAGTTATTAAGATTTGGCAGAAGACACCAGTTTGTGAAGGGATGTTGTGAATTTATTGAGGGGAATCCTGGATAGCTGCCAAGGGCAGATGATGTTCCTTTGGGATTTGAATATTATGACCCTTGAGAGCAGAAATGGAAAATGGACTAGTTGGATTTCAACAAGGATTTCACACAGAACTATAGAAGTGGAGGTTGAACAGACCAGTGGCTGTCAAAATAAGAATAAAAATTAAAGGACAATGAAGTGGATTAACATCGGAGTGGTTTATTGAAGAATTATGAAATGCAACGTAACTTTAGTTGATCAGGACTCCATGCACCTCAAAGCATGAGAAGTCGCCCTAAAAATATATATAATTTGGCACCTAAATTTGGTTTTTTAATGATTTGTGTTAATTTGGAATGTTTTAATGTGGTTATTATTGGTTATTAAAATGGAAAAATGAATAAATATTATTATTAAAAAATGGGTCAGTGAAGATGATTGGTAAAGGCTTTGGGGGAGCTTAACTTTTATCTCCTCTCTACCTATCCTTATGGCACACAGCACATGATTGGCAATATCTGTCATTAAATATTGGGGGGGGGTAGATAAATTACACGTCGAGGCACAAACAAGCCGTTTGAATGGCAATGCCCAGCAACTTTTTTTTGCCTCTTCTTGAACAGTGGATGATTTCCTGCAGCCCTCCCCCTGCTGCTGTAAGTGTCAGGGTGCTGCCAGTGGGTCCTGGCTGGTTGCCTAGGAAAGTATAAAGACAAGGAAAAGTTTCTTACAGTCCTCCCCTCCACCCCAAGCTTACAGAGAGAGGCCATAGAACCCAGCCTCTTGGGTAATGGCGTTGTCCCAAGTGAATCGCCACCGCCCGTCTCTCCCACTTCCTCACTCGTCATCACCTCCTCTACGGGTGGTGCTAAGTGCCCTCTGTCTTTGAGCTCTTTGCTCTCCTACTTTTAAGGCTCACTGGGTTCTGGGAGATGGTGGGTCTGGAATGCTTTCTAGTGACAATTGGTCAGCCAGCTGCTGCTCTGGCTCTCCTATGATTTCCCAACTTTCCCCCTCATCTGCCTCTGAGCTGTGACCTCCCTCAAACCTGTGCTATAAATCTATGCTGCCTTCCTCCCTCTGTCCCCTTCCCCTCAGTGTTACAGTCACAGCTTCTCTTAACATCCCTTCACTTTAAAAACAGTTGCTATACTTCCATTTCTGTTAGAGAGGTGTTTCAGTTGAATAATACAACATAGCTTCCTTCCCTGATCAGTGCCCTGGTTCAGGTGCGAGGGCACTTTTCCTCAGTTCCCCTTCTCTCTAAGCAATCCCACTCCTGAGGTAATTCCAAAATGGCGTAACAGACCCAGGGATCCCCCCGGTGACTGGCTTGGGGGGGTGTTCTCTCCCTGTCACGGTCCGGTTCACTGGCGATCGAAGTCCCGGCTAGGGACGTCAGGACCAGGGGCAAGATGGCGGGGTGGGAACAGGAACGGGAGTCCAGAAGCCAGGAGTTGGGAAGCCAAGAGTCCGAGGGTCAGAGAGCTGGGAGTCAAGAAGCCGAGGGTCAAGAAGCAAGGAGTCACGAAGGCAGGGGTCCAAGGATCAAGGAACCAAACGCAGCAAGGCAGGCAACGTGTTGCTGTGGCAAAGAGCTGAAGGGAAAATGCTGACCTTATACAGTGGTACCTCGGGTTAAGTACTTAATTCGTTCCGGAGGTCCGTTCTTAACCTGAAACTGTTCTTAACCTAAAGAACTACTTTAACTAATGGGGCATCCCGCTGCCGCCGCGCTGCCACCGTGTGATTTCTGTTCTCATCCTGAAGCAAAGTTCTTAACCCGAGGTACTATTTCTGGGTTAGTGGAGTCTGTAAGCTGAAGCGTATGTAACCCGAGGTCCCACTGTATCCCTTCCCAGCTCTTGCCACCAGGTGCTGTGAGTTACCAATCGGCCTCACCTGTGAGGCCGCGCCTTGCCTCTTCAAGAACAAACTTAGGAAGGCCCCAGTCCTGATCACAGGGCCTGGCTCCTGCATGCACACCTGACACTCCCTAGAAGAATTGCCCCTCCTGACTGGAAGGTGACCCGGGGGAGCTTGAATTCCCTCAGGTTCTGCTTCTCCTGCCTCAGTCAGCCCTCCCAGGACACCCCGTCTGTAGACCTTCCCCAGACCCCCAACCGGGTTTCCCTCTCCAAGCTGAGAGGGTCTTTCCTCTCACTATGCGCAGTCTCCTCAGGGTGGGTGTTCAACCCAAATCAGAACCAATTTTTCCTCAGACAAATCCTATCCTCCTCCCACCTCTGAACAATCCCTCCCCCTCTTCTCAAATCCAGCCCTGGCTCTCCTCTCAAATCCAGTCCTGTCCCTCAACCTGAGCCCCATCTGACTCTAACTTCTCAAGTCAAGCCCTTCTCCAACTCTCTTCCCTCAGAAACAGCTCTTTCTATTTTCCCTCCAAACGTGCTGGCTCCGCCCCCTCCGTCTTGGGAACCAATCAGAGAGAGGCTCCGGCCCTCTGGCGGAATTTCAGGGAACGCATCACCAGACTGCTGCCCCTCACATGTCATTTTCATATCTTAGTATTATTATTATGCATAAAGCAAATGGCAAAAGTAGTACGTAATGGCTCATTCGTCAGGGCTTCAGTTTGCCTGGACTCCAGTTCATTTCGCCATCACAAAGTGCATCTGATGAACTAGGTTGCTGCTTCATGGAAGCTTCCTCTCCTCCGCCTGTCCATGCTTTCCCCAGTCCTCCTCTCCCCGCAACAGAGGAATAAAGGAAGCAGGGGCTTTGGCTGACCGTCTGCGGAAAGGAAAGGAGGGCAGAACAGGTGTTTCCACCCACTACACCACACTGCCTCTCTTGACCCCGGGGTAGAGGATGCAGCCCCTTCTTCAGGACGCAGCCGGCTTCTGCATCTCGCCTCGCTGTGTCCTTTTTGCAGAGCTCACCTCCAGTCTAGAGTCCTGGGCATAGCCAGGATTTATATCAGGGGTGCAGAACCGAGCTATCTGCAACGCGATAGCTTGATTGCTATCTTGATTACTTGATTATCTTGATTATCTTGATTACTTGATTACTTGATACTTGATTGCGCGCGGTGGGGGGTAGAGCTGCCCCCTGGCTGCTCCTAAGTCTGAAGGCTGACAGAGACGAGGGTTTCCTTCGGGGGCGGGTGGAGAATATTCCCTCTACTTCCGCAGAGTTGCATTGACTTCCTCCATCCCACCCGCTCCCCGCAGGGATAGAACCTCTTGCTTTGAAAGGGGGCAGCGCATGGCATCCTCGGCGGACCAGGATGGTGCAGGCTGGCAGGTGGAGGCCGTCTCTCGTGGATGCTTCCGTGGAGAGTCCAGCATCGCAGCGGGTTGGGCTGGATGACCCTTGTGGAGCCCCTTGAACCTCTCCTATTCCCCGATTCTCTTATTGGAAGCCAACCAGCCCCATATTGGTCTTGCACCCTGGTCCTGGCCTCCCCCGCCGCCCCTGAGGATGTTAGAATCCTAGAGTTGGAAGGGGACCCGAGGGTCATCTAGTCCAACCCCCTGCAATGCAGCGCTCTTTTGCCCAACATGAGTCTCGAACCCGCAACCCTGAGATGAAGGACCTCAGGCTGTACCCACTGAGCCATCCCGCCTATCGCCCCTCCACTATGTCATTCCCCACCCCAAGGGGCTTGGGCCCCTAGGAGTTCGCCCCTAAGGATGCCCCTTTCCCAGCCTGGAAGCCTAGCCGAGCCTTGCCGAGTCATGTCCTGAATCTGGCGGGATCTCACGACGGGATCCGGATCCCTCTCGGTGCCTCGCCAGCTTTTTCCCTGGGCAAGAATCTCCGAGAGGCGAGGCTACGTAGGGGTTAAGGAGAGCGAGAGAGCCCGGTTGCCTAGAGCGGCCTGGAAAAGGCCCCTCTCTCCGTCCTTCCGACTCGCCTCCTCTTTCAGCTTGTCTTGGGAGGCCTCTGGGGCGGTGAGTCCTTTGGGCGAAGGGGAGGCTGTGGGGCGACTGGGTGTGTGCAGAGGGGGCTGTTGGGGGGCTGAGGGATGAATGGGAGGATCCCCTGGGTGGGGGGGGGGGAATGGAAGCCATGGGACCCAAGGCCTCTGAGGTCCCAGCACCCTCACACCTACGACCCCCGGGGGTGAGAGCGGGCTGTTTGGGGGGCTCGGAAGTGGGCGCCCCTTGAGAAGAGGGGACTCCAAGTGGGGAAAGAGGGTGGGCATCCATCTTGGGCGATGCTTTCCTTGCGACCCCTGCATTGCTGGGAGTTGGACTAGATGACCCTCGGGAGCCCTTCCATTTCCACAGTTCTATGGTTCTGGGGGGTGGAGCATTGGAGCCAACTTCATGGGGCCGGGAGGGGTTTGGCCCCACAGTAAAACACTTGAGGGGCCTGGAGTGAGTGGGTGGGTGTCTGTGCATTGTATCATGTGATATTATATGGAGCAAGGCTTGCTGCCACCCCCAATATTTAATTCAAGTTTGCACCCCTAGGGTAGAGAGAGTGTGTGATAGGAATTTTGAGGTCTTAGATATATGTTAAATGTTCATAACCTGGAACCATTTTTGATTCCCAAACTGTCCCAAACTGACCAAATGTTTTCTCTGCAAGGTCAAAGGAAAATGGAAAAGCCTCCCCGTTGTCCTTTCCTTCACAAATCCTATCTTAAGGGTATGTCTGTGTTTGAACAGGGTGAGCCTGTGACCTGACTCAGGAACTAAGTATTTATCATTACTAAATATTTATCAGTACAAAAGACTGGCCAGGCTCCCCAGGGTATCCAATCAGTTAAGCAGGGTATCCAATCAAGTAACCTGCCAGACAGGAGATAAACGACAGAAGAAAAGCAACATTCAAATTTCTGTTTTAGACCGCCTTTTCTGTGATGTAGGTATGATTTATCTGGGGTGGTGGTCTTGAGCTACAGGGTGGCAATTTCAAAATGTCTATATAAGGCCTTGCACGCCATTGTTCTGGGTTCCTCCTGTCCTGTGCGTGGTGAGTGAGGACCCTGTTGCAACAGATCAATAAAGATCAGGCTTACTAGCTGCTTTGCTTCTCAATATTCTCTGGTTGGTCTCTGTTATTTTCTCCTACTAATAGGAAAAGGGCAGATTTTGTTTACAAGAGAGAGACGTGTCCTTTGGGAGAAAGGGCTCCATCTTGGGCGCTGGCAGGAAATCTCCAGAGGCAAGATTTCCAAGATGGCAGAAAGAAAGGAAGTCAGAAGGAAAGGAGTGTTTTTTAATGGAGTGAAGGAGAGTCACCCTTCTTTTCCTGTAGGAGGGGTTGCTGGGGTGCCTCTTAGGGAGGGAAATCTCTGCAGGGGTCTGGGGCTGCCTTGGCTTCTCTCCCCCCCCCCCCCGCCCCCACGACTTGTTTAAACTTTGAGCTCTGCAAAATATTTTGAAAGAGGCTGGATCTGACCATCATCATTGCTATCCGAGGCTAGGAGAGGTGTGCTGAGTTCCAGGGGTTGTGTGTGGAGGAGAAATGAATGGATGGGAGCTGGAGGGGGAAATGACCCCCCCCCACACACAAAAGTCAAGAAAGCCCTGGCTGGAGGAAGGGAGTGGAGCAGTCTTCTCCAAAGTATTCACCTGGTACATGTTTCTAGGTGTCACAGAAGAGGAGGAATATGCAGAGCAGACCTTTGCAGATTTACTCATAAGGAAGCCCCCATGGAGAGAGGACAGATTGAATTGGTATCACCAAAAAAAACCTTAAAAATGGGGCTCCTGTTGGGAAGGAGGAGCCCTTTGGGGCTTTTCTAGGGGCAGCAGAATGTTTTGGGCAGGAGAATCCCTGCAGGGCCTCTGAGGCTCCCTTTGCTTCTTCCTCCCTCCCAGGAACCTGCATCTTCTGAGCTCCTCAGGAAGGATGAAAGCGGCTGAACCTGCAAACCTAGCAAGGATGGAAGGAGGAAGATGGACAGTTGACCTTATCAGACTGCCTCCTGCATCCCTCCCCAAAACCTCTGGGCATTTTCTCCCAGGACACTCAGAGACATCTGGTGAGTTCCTATGGAGTGGAGATAGGGACACACAAGGATCGCTAGATGGATGGTGAAGAGGAAAACCTGCCCCCAGGCTTTTGAATGTTAGGTGCTATTTCCACTGCAGGACTGCTGGCTTAGTTGCTAATCTCCCCTTCTTGGGCAAGGTTCTTAAAAAAAAAAATATCTGGATTTTTTTAAACAAAAAGATTTTTTTTATTACAAAATTTTTTTACAAATCCATAAACGAAGATTACCCTGAATCTTGTGGCTTCCCCCCATCCCCTCCGTTGGTCCTAATATTACCATCTACAACTGCATATAAGTCCATTGTCCATATTTTTCTGTTCATCCAAGTTATCCATAATCTTTAATACCTTATAAGTGCAGTTAAAATCCTTCTAATGTTTTCATCTGCTTACAACGGTCTCCTAGATAAATTGTAATATCCCTATTATTATTATTTATCCCAACCATATAGGCAGCTGGGTTTTCTTTTCATTTTTCCTTTAGGGGTGTGTGTTCATGAAGCATGCATACTAGTTCTTAAACTATCATCTGCTATTTCTCCTTGTTATCTCGAGTCACCTCTAAACTATAAATCTATCACTCTCAGGGTCAGCATGGGCCTTGAACAAATTCTTAGTCTTTCTTAGTCTTAATTGCACCCTCTAACACGAAAAGGAGTTTAGGTAGAATCCTTTGATTCAGCTAAGGATTCATTTTTATTCATTTATTCCACATTGGGGCAGGACCTATTTTTATTGCAAGGTGGGTATCAAGTGGAATGAACCCTTTTCACCATGGAAACAGTGAAAGACTTACCCTTCAACAGCTAAATGTGAAGCTCCTTTTGTTTCTTCTTCCCTCAGGAACCTGCGGCTTGTTTACGCTTGGGAGCTCCTCAGGAAGGATGAAAGAGTCTGATAATGCAAACCTAGCGAGGATGGAAGGAGGAAGATGGACGGTTGACTTGGTCAGGCTGCCTCCTGCATCCCTCTCCAAAACTGTTGAGCATTCCCTCCTAGGGCCCTCAGAGAGATCTGGTGAGTTGCAGGGGGTAAGAGATGGGCGCAGGGATGGAAAGAGACAGGAGCAGGGAAACACATTGGCAAGGGGAAAAGATGGAGAGGAGAGAAAAGGCAGGAAGAAGGAAGCAGAGAGGCCTTTTCCCATGCTCCTCTTTGTTTCTGGAATCTGCTTTCATAGAGTAGCCAGAAACCTTTTTCCTCTCACAGCCTTTTGATTTTACATGTTTTCCCCCCACTACATGATTAAATGATGATTATTACCTAAACTAATACAGAAATATGGGAAAAGGGTGTTGTGGAAATGCTTTTAGTAATTATAGATTATTTATTTTTTTTGAAACACTTCTACCACTTTTATTTTTTTCTAGACAATTATAATTATGTATGTAATTTATATATCTCCATTCATACAAAGATATTCCTTGAAACCCTAAAAGCATTTATCCCTTTGCTCCAAAGCAGGTGGTGCAGACAATCGACAGAACTCTGCAGAATGTGGAATGAGCTTTATTGATGGTGGAAACCTTACAAACCATCAACAAACTCACATGGGGGAAGACCATTTGAATGTATGGAATGTGGAAAGAGTTATAGTAGTAATGGCATTCTTAAACATCAGCGAATTCATACAGGGGAAGAACAATATGAATGTTTGGAGTGTGGTAAGTGCTTCAGTACTGGTGGAAATCTTACAAGACATCAACGGACTCACACAGGAGAGAAACCATTTAAATGTGTGGAGTGTGGGAAGTGCTTCAGTACGGGTGGAAAACTTACAAGACATCAACGGACTCACACAGGAGAGAAACCATTTAAATGTATTGAGTGTGGAAAGAGCTTCAGTGAAAGTTGGTCCCTTCATATGCATCATCGAAGTCACACAGGGGAGAAACCATTTAAATGTATGAAGTGTGGAAAGAGTTTCAGTTCCGGTTCAAGCCTTGCTTTACATCATTACACCCACACAGGGGAGAAACCATTTGAATGTATGGAGTGTAAAAAGAGCTTCAGTGACAGGGGAACACTTAGAAAACATCAACTAATTCACACAGGGGAAAAGCCATTCACATGTATGGAGTGTGGAAAGAGCTTCTGTCATATTGGTAAACTTCGAGTACATCAACGGACTCACACAGGGGAGAAACCATTTGAATGTCTAGAATGTGGAAAGTGGTTCAGACGAAAGACACACCTCACTTCACATCGGCGAACTCACACAGGGGAGAAACTATTTAAATGTTTGGAATGTGGAAAGACTTCCACTGATAGTCGAACACATGCAGTACATCAGCGAACTCACACAGGGGTTAAACCATTTAAATGTATGGAGTGTGGAAAGAGCTTTGGTCAGAGTTCCCACCTTCGTACACACCAGCAAACTCACACAGGGGAGAAACCGTTTAAATGCTTGGAGTGTGGAAAGAGCTTCAGTCAGAGTGCACACCTTAACACACATAAACATACTCACACAGGGGTGAAAGACTTTAAATGCTTGGAGTGTGGAAAGAGCTACAGTCGACGTGATAAACTTAGTGAACATCAGAGAACTCACACAGGGGTTAAACCATTTAAATGTATGGAGTGTGGAAAGAGCTTTGGTCAGAGTGCACACCTTAACATACATAAACATACTCACACAGGGGTGAAACAGTTTAAATGCTTGGAGTGTGGAAAGAGCTACAGTCGACGTGATAAACTTTGTAAACATCAGAGAACTCACACAGGGGTTAAACCATTTAAATGTATGGAGTGTGGAAAGAGTTTCCATCAGAGTGCACAGCTTGCTTTACATAAACGTACTCACACAGGGGAGAAACCCTTTAAATGTATGGAGTGTGGAAAGAGCTTTAGTTGGAAGAATCAGCTTAATTCACATCAACGAACTCACACAGGGGAGAAACCCTTTAAATGTATGGAGTGTGGAAAGAGGTTCAGTGAAAGTTGCTCCCTTAATATTCATCATCGAACCCACACAGGGGAGAAACCATTTAAATGTATGGAGTGTGGAAAGAGTTTCCGTCAGAGGATACACCTTACTTTACATAAACGTACTCACACAGGGTGAAACACTAAATGCTTGGAGTGTGGAAAGAGCTTCAATCAACGTGAGAAACTTAGTGAACATTCACTCAATGTTCATTCTTTTACATAGAATTCTAAAATGCTAGAGTTGACATAATTTGAGGGGTTTTGGATGGGGCAGTGTGGAAACACATTCACTTTATTTTGATTACTTCTCTGGAACAAATGAACCTCAAAGGGAGACTAGCATGACAACCCACCAAGAGGTTCAGTGCTGTCACTTGTGGACTGAATCAGGACAATGGATATTTTTCACAATATGTGGGTTAATCGTATTCACAGTGCCAACTCCAGTGGTACCTTGGTTTAAGAACAACTTAGTTTATGAACAACTTGGAATAAGAATGCTCCAAACCCGTAAGTAGGTGTTTGGGTTGGTGAACTTTGCCTTGGAACCAGAACATGTTCCGCTTCCTGTTGAGTGTGTTCTGTTTGTAAATTGAGTCCCCCACTGCTAATCAGAGGCTTCCTGTTGAGTCTGTTGGCTGTTGAGTCTGGAGCTCCCACACAACACAGAAGCAATATTTGGAGCTTTTGTCTTTGCTATTTTTTGCGTTTTTGTTTGTGTGGGGTTTTCATTATTTTTTTTTACTGTGACTTGTTCTTTGTTTTATGGTACTGACTTTTGACTGTGGCTTGTGACTTCGTTTTTGTGACTGTGTGGAACCCAGTTCAGCTACTGGTTGATTGTGTGATTGCAGAAATGGATAAAAGCCCCCCATCCAAACAATTACTATCATCAGTGCACATAAGAAAATAATAATAATTTTGAGTTTTATCATCTACAATACTGTCTCATTTATTTTCTTGTACAGAACATTGATTATTGCCTTCCTTTTATGGATCAATGGTCTTGTTAGATAGTTTAATTCATGTTAAATTGCTGTTTTAGTGGGGTTTTTTATTGTCTGGAACGGATTAATCCATTTTCCATTACAGTGGTACCTCGCAAGACGAATGCCTCGCAAGACAAAAACTCGCTAGACGAAAGGGGTTTTTGTTTTTGAGTTGCTTCGCAAGACGATTTTCCCTATGGGCTTGCTTCGCAAGACGGAAACGTCTTGCAAGTTTGTTTCCTTTTCTTAACACCGTTAATACAGTTGTGACTTGACTTCGAGGAGCAACTCATAGAACGCGGTGTGGTAGCCTTTTTTGAGGTTTTTAAAGACTTTGGTGATTTTTGAAGCTTTTCCAAAACTTTCCCGACACCGTGCTTCGCAAGACGAAAAAAATTGCAAGACGACACAACTCGCGGAACGAATTGATTTCATCTTGCGAGGCACCACTGTACTTTCTATGGGAAAGCACGCCTTGGTTTAAGAACGCAATGGTTTAAGAATGGACTTCCTGAACAGATTAAGTTCGTAAACCAAGGTATCACACTGATTTTGTGTGTGAAAACAGCTATTAATAAAAGCAGTGGACTTCTAATCTGGTGAACCGGGTTGGCTTCCCCGCTCCTCCACATGCAGCTGCTGGGTGACCTTGGGATAGTCACACTTCTCTGGTGTCTCTCAGCCTCACTCACCTCACAGTGTTTGTTGTGGGGGAGGAAGGGAAAGATTATTAGCTGCTTTGAGACTCCTTAAGGGGAGTGAAAGGTGGGATTTCAAGTCCAAACTTGTGTTCCCAGAATGTCACCAGTTTTCATTAAATGTCCCCTGGAAAACATGACAGCAGCATGCTGTGCTTGGCACCCGATGCTCATGTTCATCCCTCCATGCCCCTTTCCGCCCCCTCTCTCTCCCCAGCAGCCCATTCTTTTACATTCCCTACTGTTACTTTAAATTGCAACTGACTTTGTGTCAGCGTCCCCAAGCCCTTACTCCACCTCTCTTTCTGTATAGAAACTGTATAGAATTTTACTTGTCGCAAAATGGAAAGAAGTCCCAGCCAAGAGAGAATGGATGCAAGAACTTATGGAATATGCAGAAATGGTGAAACTTACCAGAAGAATAAGAAATCAAGATAATAATTTTTTTAATAAAAGAATGGAAATGGTTTATTTAATATTTACAGATAAACATTATCTGAGATTTATTGCTCAGGGGGAAAAGGTCCTGCAAGCTTCCGTTGCGCAGTCTGCTGTTCCGGACTTCTGAGCGTAGCAGAGTAAAATCACAGCGGTCAAAGCCCTTAGCCTTCTGTCTTCTGTGCGTGCCATTAGTGTGCATAAATCAAGAGCCCACGCAGCTTCTCCTAAGCTAAAAGCATTTATTATTACAGCCGCAGTAACTTATCCAGTATCGAACAGAATGTGAGACATGTCTGTTCCCTACAAAAGCGAAACCAGAATAGAACAAAGAAAAACAGATCCTGGATGTGACGCAGGATCCCTCCACCCCACAGAAGGCAGGATGCATACACTGAGCTGTTTAACCCTGAAAGCTCACACCCCCTCTCGTCCTGCGCTACTGGGGACCAGTAAGTATCACCACTTACCCCAACTTCAAACCTCCATAGAACTCCCCATGACGCTGGAAGCTCAAAGGTTTCGATAACCCATCTGCCAGGTTGTCGTGGCTTGTACAGTACTTCATCCGCACCAAACCTGACTGGACACTTTGACACACATTCTGGAAATGTATGTCTATATGCTTGGTTCTGGCCTTAAACTGCCCAGATTCTGCCAACTTCAGACAGGGTGGATTGTCCTCCTAAATATTGATGGGGAGGCAGCAATCCCCATAAATCTCTTGCACCAGGCATCTATAGAACACCAGTTGCCGGCACAACTCCAACAGTGTGCTGAACTCAGCCTCAGTAGAGGACAGTGCAATGAGACTTTGCTTCCGAGACTTCCACCCAACCAGAGATTCCCCAAACTTTATTACCTTCCCAGATATGGACTTCCTGTTATCCATATTCGCCCAGTCGCTATCTGCCCAGCAAGTGAGCCTAGTCTCACCTGCAGCTGACAGCTTGAGATTAAAGTCCTTGGTATCCTGCAGGTAAATCAAGCAGCACCCGCTTGATACCATGCCAGGTGTTTACACTGGGCTTTGTAGCTTCCCTACTGAGGAGATTGGTAGCAAAAGCAGTGTCCGGCCTGCTCCATTGGGACAGATACAACAGACTAACCAGAGCTGATTGAAAGAGCTCAGCGTTCTCGAACTCCACGCGTTCTGCTAGTTGACTTTCTTTCAAGTAGCTTGTCTCCATGGGTGTCAACGCCTGCACAATCAGACATTCTGAACTTCTCAAGCAACCACTCAGTCTTGCCTTTCTGACTGAGCAAGAAGCTTCCATCTTCAGTCCTGACTATCTGTACACCTAGGTAGATCTTTACTGCACCTAGGTTCTTGAGCTGAAACCGCTTTCCAAACTCTTTGGCAAACTTCTGCACCTGTTTGTTTGCCCCTGAGGTGTGTATGATGTCATCAACAAAGATCAACACAATTTCCTGCGACTCTCCTGACCCTTTAAGGTACAGGCAGCTGTCAGCAAGACTCCTCCTGAAACCTAGCTTCTCTAAGGCTTCATTCAGGCACAAGTTCCAATTTCTGGCCAATTGCTTTAAGCCATAAATGGACTTGTGAGGCTTCCATACAGTATTTGGCCCATTGCCCTCAAACCCTGGAGGAGGAAGCATGTACATATCCTCCTGGAGGTCTGAGTTCAAATAGGCCACATCCACCTCAAAGTGATGCACCTGCTTACCTCTGTGCAGCAATGGCTAAGAGCATGCGCAGAGTTTCACTTCTGGAAGTAGAAGCATATACCTCAGTAAAATGCAGCCCCTTCTGCTGCGTGAACCCTCTGGCTACTAGCCTAGCCTTGTACTGTGATTCTCCAGTTGCTGTGGGTTTAAGACAGTAAACCCAGAGGCTGCTCATGGCCTGTTTGCACACTGGCAACGTCGTGAGAGAAAACACACCTAGAGACTCCATTGAGCTCATCTCCTTCTGCATTGCCTCATGCCATTTCCTGGCTTCTTCCTGAAGCAGTTTCTGAACATCCTCAAAACTCTCAGGTTCACACTGTGCCATACCAACCCACACAGTTGTGACTGCAAACCTGTCAGGAGGTTTACCTTTCGTTGTGCAAGCTGAACATCTCAACCCAGTTTCAGGTACCTGCTCTGACCCACTTGTCAGTGTTTGTAAAAGCAAAAAAAGGAGGAAAAGGTTCTGACCACCCTTTCTCTCCTCAGCCTGGTCCTCGGACCCTTGTCGGCACAAAAAGAGTCCACGAGAATATCCTTGCAGAGTTTTATTCTTAAAAGTCCTTGTGCAAAACACGACTGAATAACTATACACACCAGCACTAACCAACCAACCCAACCTCCAGACACCAGCCTCAGCACAAACTAACATTTCTCACTTATATATACAACCTGCTGCAGGCTGCTGAGTCATGCTGACCCAGCTTTATTCGCATTAAAGAAACAGTGGCCATTTTAGCCGTGACACCCCTTCTGTTTCTTAAATGCGAAAAACCTAACAGAAACAATACATACATGCATTATATACATAAACCCAGTTTTGTCATCAATTCATTATGACATGTTGCTGGCAAAGGCTTGGTAAACAAATCAGCAATATTATCTTGTGATTGACAATACTCCAGTTTAATTGTACACCATCTCTCACATTCGCATGATGGATAGCAATATGTTTTGATGCGGATTTCATTATTTCCGAGCCAGCTAATGCAATGCACGATTGGCTATCTTCATACACTTGGATAGGCAAATCAACTTTACAATCTAGATCTTTTAGTATCTGTATAAACCACATGATTTCGTTGCATGCTAGCAACAGGCTCCCATATTCTGCCTCACAGGATGAGGTCGCAACAAATCCTTGTTTCTTTGACCTCCATCCAATTATGGAATTGGCAAACATCATAACCATTCCACTTGTAGATTTTCTAGTAGCTACACAGCTTCCCCAGTCCGCATCAACAAATACTTCTAGTTTTTCGTCTTGTGTACTAGATATCTTCAAACATACATTTAATGTCCCCTTTAGATATCTGATAAGCCTTTTCAAAGCACACCAATCAGCAGTACTGGGTTTAGATACACGTTGGCTCAGAACATTTGTAGCACATGCAATGTCTGGCCTTGACCACTGGCTTAAGTACAACCGTGATCCTATTTTTGAGTGATACAACTCAGGCTGATCAAATTCATCATCACACACTGTCTTTGGGAAATCTGGTGTCATGGGAGTTTGAACTGGCTTGCAGTTTTCCATGCCAAACTGCTCTATCAAATGAAGAATTTTCTCTTTCTGACTCAATAGGAAGCTTCCATCAGCTTCCTGCCTTACTTCTACTCCCAAGTAATTGCTTACAGGCCCTAAGGCTTTAAGCTTAAACCTCTTTTCCAGTTGGCTTGTGAGCTTCTGGATCTCATCTGTGGAACTCCCTGCCACAAGCAAATCATCAACAAAGACTAAGAGCATTAGATATTTGTTGCCTGTCCCCTTGGTGTACAGGCATGGATCAGCCACACTCCTTTTAAAACCAAGTTTTACAAGGGCTTCATTTAAACACTGGTTCCAACACCTTCCACTTTGTTTGAGACCGTAAACAGCCTTTTTCAAACGCCGGGCTGCACCATTCCCCTCTTCAAACCCAGGGGGTTGTCTCATTAATACTTCATGGCCTAAATTTGCATGCAGATATGCAGCATCAACATCAAAATGGTGCACTGCTAGTTGTCTTACAGCAGCAATGGAAAGCATTAAACGAAAAGTTTCACTCTTTACAGTGGGAGAAAACACTTCATCATAACTCCCCCCTTTAATATGAGTGAACCCTCTGGCTACTAATCTGGCTCGAAAGCGTGGTTCCCCAGATGCAAGGGTTTTCTTTTGTAAACCCACTTGCATGACACCACTCTGCCACCAGGTGGCGGCATTATGACCTCAAACACTTTGTTACGTTTAAAAGAGTCCATTTCTTCTTTCATAGCTTGTTCCCACAAAGCACGTTCCCCAGGGGGTAAGTCTAAGACTTCATTATAACTTTGTGGTTCCACACAACTCACATTGCATACTCTCACTCCTCCTAGGGTCAAACGCTGAGGAGGTACACCCTTGTTTGAATGCTGAGAGCGTCTAGGCACAACTACTTCTTCCCCCCTTATCTCTGGCTCTTCTTCCTTTTCCTCTAGAGAAGTAGAGGAAACATCTTTTGTGGAAATCTGTGCCTCCTCCTCATCCTGCTCCTGTGTTGCCAATGGCTGAGAAGAAGCCTCTTCTCTTACTTGCAGGGACAGTAGGCAATCAGGGTTGGCATGGATCGCAGTCCATCTGTCCTGGTCAGCAAAGTCTGCACTTCGTGACAGAACCACGCGTCCTGGGCGTAAATTGAAACGCCACCCTTTGCCATAGGACTGATATCCCACAAACCGCAGTTTCTGCGCTCTTGCGCCCCCTTTCTGGCGCTGAGCTTTGGGGATATTTACATGTGCTCAAGCACCCCAGTTATGGAGCATTGTCCACTCTGGTTCTTTCCCAAACAATACACAATAAGGAATATCTTTTATAGAGCTAGACCAGGTTCTATTATTCAAAAAGTTCGCTGTCAGAAAAGCCTCGCCCCACAGCCTATGGTTGTGACCCAATCCTGCATCCACTAGCAGGCAGTCCTTTACTGACTATATTACAGCCCCACGTCTTTCACACAGACCATTTTCAGCAGGGCTATAAGGGTTAGTCAAGCGATGAGTGATCCCCTTACTTCGCAACCATGTCCTAAATTGTTTGTTCAGAAATTCTCCGCCCCTATCTGTTTGCAACTGCACAACAGGGCGAGCGAAGAGCTTTTCAGCTTGGGCAACCCATTCTCTGAATGTGGGAAACACTCAGATTTCTGCTTTAACAAAAACAACCAACTAAAACGTGATTTATCATCTATTACCAGAAAAGCATATCTGGCGCCCCCTTCAGTCTTCTGTGGAAAAGGGCCTATCACGTCACAATGGACAAGTTCTAAAACCTCTTTAGATACTCTGTCACTTTTAGAAGCCACAGGCTTCCTCTTAGATTTGGCCATTTTACATACATTGCAATCTAGGAAACAGTTACAGCTATTTACGCACACGGAAATTGGCGTGACCCAGTTTTCTGTGCAGTTCATGTACACACCCCTTATGAACTGGTAAATTACCCTGAACCACCTGGGCTGCTTTAACAGGCTTGTTCTGCATTACATATAACCCATTTTCCATCTTTGCATGGCCACATACCTGAGTTCCATTCTTTATCAGACAGCCATCCTGCGTGAACTTAACACTATACCCTGCATTAATCAAACAGCTTACAGACAGTAAACAATAGTCCAAACTGCTGACAAACAGAGTCTCTGGTAGAGTAATGTTCAAGCACTGCAGGAAACATGTTCCCTGGCCATCAATCTTGCTTCTACGACCATCAGCAAGATAAATTGAGTCTTTTCCATCAGCTGGCTTCCCCAGGGTCTTAAAGTCCTCCCGACTGTTGCAGATAATCCTGCTGCTGCCAGAGTCCAGCAACCATGTTCCTCGAGGTATCTTCCCTCCTCTCGAGAAAATGCAGACACAAACTGAGCAGAACGCGTGTTCTTCTTCCCTGAAGAGAACCCCTTCTGCTTACGTTTCTGCGTTGATTGCTGTCTCTGCTCCACGTCGTCTCCTGGAAGTCTTGCCCTGCATTGACGTTGGAGATGCCCGGGTTGGTTGCATCTATAGCACCTCCTCACCGCCATGGCCAAGTCCAAGCCTTGGCGTTGCTCCATTGGCAGATTCTGCTGCTGGCCCCCTCGACTGTAACTCCTCTGTTCTTGGAGTTCAGCCTGTCTATCTGACCTTCTTTCTGCTTCTTCGGTCAATCTTCCAACCACATACTCAAGGGTCAGATCTCGGGGACGCATACTCTCCATGCTGCTAATCACAGGCAACCAGCTTTCAGGCAAACTTGAAAGGATAATGTAGGTTTGGTCAGTCTCATCATAACGCTTACCTCTCTGCTGTAGTTGAAGAAACAGAGATTTCAGCGTTTGAAGATGAGTTGCCAAACTCTCACCTTCTTTCATAACAGTCCTGAACAGCCTTCTGGTCAAAGAAATTATAGTTCCAGCAGTTTCTCTGACATGCATTGCCCTTAATAAATTCCAGCACTCAAACGCTGTGCTGGCATTTGCTACATGCAATAACTGAGAGTTGCTCAAACACAGCATAATTTGGGCACGGGCCCTTTCATCCAGCCATTTTTTCTCAGCAGAGTCCCGTCTCAAAACCTCAGTTTCAACACAGTCCCATAGTCCATCTCTCCTTAACAACTGCTGCATTTTAATTGACCAACTCAGCCAGTTGCTTTCTGAGAGAAGTTCAAAAGGGATGCCTCCCCAATATTTACAACTTGGGTAGACTGGAAATCTGCCATCTCTGCTGGTGCTTGCTGAGCCCCTTCTGTGGGGTCTACAGCAATCTCTCCTGACTCTCTCTTTAGAGTCCGACTGGACAGTCCTGGCTGGCACTCACCGGCATCTAGCTGCTGCCTCTGTTGACCCTCAGGTCCTGCCTGGCTCTGCAACTGGTGTAGCCGCTCTGTGAGTCGCCTACTGTGGTCCTCTAGCAGTTCAAACTGTTCCAGTAGCCGACGCTGAATGCTTTCCTGATCCTCACATCCTAGCCACTCCAGCGTCACTGCAGACAGTTACAGCTTGCCACCAACTGCTCCAACGCACAGCCACTGGCTCCATACACCACCAGGACTCACCAGCACCCTGCTGAGATGCTGTCAGTCGTTTTGCACTCTGCACATGCTCAGAAACACTGGGCCCATAACCTGTCAGTGTTTGTAAAAAGCAAAAAAAGGAGGAAAAGGTTCTGACCACCCTTTGTCTCCTCAGCCTGGTCCTCGGACCCTTGTCGGCACAAAAAGAGTCCATGAGAATATCCTTGCAGTTTTATTCTTAAAAGTCCTTGTGCAAAACGCGACTGAATAACTATACACACCAGCACCAACCAACCCAACCTCCAGACACCAGCCTCAGCACAAACTAACATTTCTCACTTATATATACAACCTGCTGCAGGCCGCTGAGTCATGCTGACCCAGCTTTATTCGCATTAAAGAAACAGCGGCCATTTTAGCCGTGACACCACTAGGGCCAGCTAGAATGTTCTTGGTGTCAGAGAGCTCCCCCTCTGACTTACTGCACCATCTAGACTTCTCAGCTGAACCTGTGGGTGAGTAAGGAGCACTTCTCTGTTCAAGCTTCCCAGCTTTTGGAGAAGTTCTTCCCTCTACCTGCTCTGGGTCGGGACTTTGTGCCTCAGCAGCATGTTCAACCTCTACCTCTTCCTCATCATCAGAGTCAAGCAGACTCTCAGAAAGAACATCAGGGTTCCCATGTATGTGTGTCCACCCATTCTGCTCACAGAATTCAACATTGTTGCTGAGCAGAATCCTGGACTGATTGCCTGTTGGATAGGCAAATCTCCACCCCTTGGTCCCTGGCTCATACCCACAGAAAACCATCTTTTGGGACCTAGGGCCACCCTTTCTGCACTTGGCCTTTGGCACAAGGACCCAAGCCTCGCAGCCAAATACACCTTGGGCTTCTTGCTGTGCAGCAGGAAATAGGGTGTGTCCTCTACAACAGAACTTGAATGACCGGTTCAACGTGAAATTAGAATTTTTCCAGGCCTCCCCCCCAAAAGCACTGGGGGAGCCCAGTATCAAACAGCAATGCTGCGGACATCTCCTGAAGCGTTCTGTTCCTGCGTTCTGCAACGACATTCTGTTGGGGACTGTCAACCTGTGATGTATTCCCTTCTGGCAGAAGACACTTTGCAGCACAGACATGGTGAATTCCCCACCGTGGTCAGTCTGAAAGTTACACACGTGTGTGGAATATTGTAGTTCCACTGCCGCAATCTAGTCTCTGATCAGCGGCACAGCCTCGCTCTTGTGTTTCAATATGAATAGCCACTCATTTCTACAGAAATCATCTATCAGAGTGAGAGCATATTTGGCCCCGCCCAGACTGGCTACTGGCATGGGGCCACACAAATCTACATGCACCAGCTCAAAAGGTCTGGTGGTCACTCTTTCAGACCTTGGGTAGGAGCACGTTTTCACCTTTGCCTGCTTACAAGCCCTGTAATCAATAAATTTAGCACATGACTTCATTTTGCACCCCTCAGTGCACTCTGGGATCTTCTTCACGTAATCCCAGGACACGTGACCCATTCTCTATTGCCAAAGATGATGGCATGCATCATGGACTGGAACGTTGGCACATTGCGCTTCAGCTGCCTCAGTGGTACCTGGACCTGCAAGAGAAGCTTCTAGCACAAACAGCCTATCTTTACATTCCACACTGACCAGTTGTTGCCCATCCCTGGAAATAAAACACGTTATTCTCAAAATAGACTCTGTAACGATCAGCAAGAAGAGCAGCAACAGATAGCAGACAGCAGGACAATCCGGGGACGACAAACGCCTCTATTGACTCCTGTAAGAAAGAGCAGAACAGTGAGCCAGATTGTGTCAGAGGACGTTTGGTTCCATCTGCAAGACAAACCGATTTCCCAGATTTTACAGAGGTGCAGTTCCACAAAAGATCACTAGATGGCACAAGGTGGTGGGAGGCACCAGAATCGATTACAAAGGTCAGCACAGCGTCCTGTTCACACCCCTTTACTGTTGCCATGGAAGCTGCTAGGTGCCTTTGTTCAGAGCTATCCCTGCCAGTTCCCTTTGTTTTCTGCTTCCCATGTTTCGTAGATGTGCTGGGTCTTATCTGTTGGTTGCTACAGGAGATGACCTTAGGTCTTTCCGGAGCCTCTACAGGGCAGTCTCTCACAACATGGGAGGGGGACCCGCATCTGTAGCAGCATCTTGAAGCAAATGCCCGCACAGTATCCCCTCCACTCCTTCCTACGTTCCCTGCACCCCCACCTCTGGGTGCACAGCCTGGGCCTGAAGCTCAAACCCCAGCTCTCTGTCTCCTGGCCTCTTCATCACGTGGCCTCCCGGAGATAAAGCAGAAGCTCCCAGCTGTGGTTTCAGGAACGTGGCCTTCAGCTCCCTCACGGCCCTTGGCTCCCACTCAGCCCTTGGCTCCCGCTGTGGTTACACAAACCCTCTCCAGCGCCTGCCAAGCAGCCTGAGCCATCTTGAGACTCTCAAAGCATCCATGCTAGCTCTCAGCATACACAGTACCTGCTGCTCTCTCTTCAGAGCAGCCTCCACGTCTGCTGCAGCAGCTCCAGCAGCAGCCTGGAAGGGTGGAGTTGGTTCTCTCTGAGAGCAGCTCCAGAGCCCTGTGGCCAAAAACCATCCCCTTGCTTTTCTTGACCAGACCTCCCAATTCTGGCTGTTGAGCCTTTCAAACGGGACATTGAAAGTCCCTTGAAGTTTTGCCATCTCCTCCCCCGGGGCTCAGTACTCACGCGTGCCAGCCGTCTTCCGGTGACAAAGTGCCTGCTTTGTCACAGGGTGGTTGTGGGAATAAGATGGTGAGCAGGCAGAAGAAGTGTGTACGTCGCCTGCAGCTTGTTGAAGGAAAGGCAGATTGCCATTGTAAAAATAATACAACATATTGGGGGTGCCAATGAATAAAATATTGCGGGGGTCCAGGTAATCTGCGTCCTGCATAATTGATCACATGACGCAGTGCAGCCACCCCATTTGACTGGCAGTGCCCATTGACTTGAGGGGAAGGACCCGGCCCCCACAAATATTTTATTGCGGGGGGGGGGGGTGAAGCCCCTAGGGCTCCTAGGAGGTGGCTCCTGTGCAACATATTAAACCCACTAAAGCAGAGAAAAGGCTGTAGTCATTAACACTGGTCAGTGGGAGGAAGAATGAAACTAAGCCTTTCTAAAGAAGGACATGCCAAGCCAGGCAGGTAAAGGAGGGGGAAATGAAAGATGCTATGGCGGAAGGGGAGGGGGGACGCTCTTAGGTTACAGATCTGGCCACGTTCTTCCAGTGACGCCTTTGCAAAGCGCGTGCATCCTGAGGCTGTTCCATCTTTCCGCAAGAGCATTTGATGCCATGCACACCCCCACAATATATATGTGTGCATATGTGTGCATATGTATATATATGCTGTGTGTGGGCGTGGGCATCACTTTCAAGGCAATATATATATAGATTGCCATGAAAGCGAAGCCCGCGAGGGGCCCTATCCTCCAGCCAGGCTGGTTTTCCATCCAAGCCTCAAATCCAGCGTCCTTCTTTGCGGGATCCGGATCCCTCCTCCTGTCTTGACCCGAAAAACGCAACTGGCGAGGTGCGCAGGTAGTGCTATTTGGGGAGGAGGGGGAGGGTGAAGGGAATAGAGAGCGCCCGGCTGCCTAGAGAGGCCTGGAAACAGACCCTCCCCTGTCCCCCCCCACCTCCCCTCCCCGCTCGTCTTGGGTGGTCCCTCCTGATGCAGTGGAAGGTGCGCACGGGAGAGATGCGGCTCGAAGGGGAGGGGTGAGTCGTGCTAAGGGGGAGATTTCGTGGGTGGGGGACCCGAATACGAGGGTGTTGGGGGGCTGAGGAAGGAAGGGAAGGATCTCTGGGAGGGAAGCCCAGCCTTCTTGCTCCTGCTCAGGACTCTCCTTTAAGTCACATCCCTGCACGAGGCGAGGGGCGTCCTATCCCCCCCCCCAAGCCTTTCTTCCCTGGAAGCTGGATTCCTGCCCCCTTCCTCCTCCCAATGGGGAAGCCGGATCTTCTGGGGGATCCAAACGTGGGGCGCTGCCTTACACCGAGTCCGCCCTTCGGTCGACGTGGGTCAGAATTGCTTAGGGTTGCTGCCGCCTTTGTTCTGGCAAAATACGAGCAGGGCGGTGAGGGGGGGCGCGCGCGCGGGAGTCTATTATTATTATTATTATTTGGCGCTGAATTGACTTCAAAGCGACCCATTACAATCTATTGCAGCCTAATTCCCCTCTGTGGAATTTTATAAAAATGCCTGCATTATTTTTCGTCTTTCTTTGAGTCCTGGCCATAGTCTTTTCTAGGGTACGCGGTCTGGGGGGAGGGGCTACAGCGGAAGGGAAGCCAGGCTGGAGGAAGAGAGTTGGGGAGGACCTGGCAGCCAGCAGAGTAGCTGGGGAAACCTTGCCTGATGGGCGGGAAATAATAATAATTGTTTATTATTGTGGGGTTTTTTTATTGAGGTCACTGGGAGCTTGTGGCCAGGGAGGCTGCAATGCCAAAGCTCCCATCTAACAGAGATAAAAGTAGACGCAAAAGGCATGACTCTAGTCATGATGATGATGTTATTATATATATGCCACCCATCTGGCTGGGTTCACCCAGCTATTCTAGGCGGCTGGGTTTTCTTGCATGGTGGGTTTGAAGAGGAAAGCACCCCTCTTTCACCATGGAGACTGTGTGTGGTATCTCCACACACAGTGACTTACCCTTCAACAGCTAAACCTCTGGAGCAGGAAAATGCTTCCAGGTCTGTGAAGCTCCTTTTGTTTCTTCTTCCCTCTCAGGAACCTGCAGCTTGTTTTGGCTTCTGAGCTCCCTAGGAAGTTTGAAAGAGTCTGATCCTGCAAAGCTAGCGAGGATGGAAGGGGGAAGATGGACGGTTGACTTGGTCAGGCTGCCTCCTGCCTCCCTCCCCAAACCTGTTGAGCATTCCCTCCCAGGGCCCTCAGAGAGATCTGGTGAGTTCCAGGGGAGTGGAGATAGGAACACAGATGGTCAGTAGATGAATGGTAAAGAGGGAAACGTCCCAGGCTTTTGAATTTTAGGTGTTATGTCTACAACAGGACTCCTGGCTAGTTTCTAAACTCCCCTTCTTGGGAAAGGTTCTTTAAAAAAAATTCGGGTTTTTTTAAAGTAACAAATGCATTTATAACGAAATAAATTACAAATCCATAAACAGAGATTACTCTGTATCGCATGACTCCCCCCCCCATCCCCTCTGTGGGTTCTAATATTACCATCTACAACTCCATATCAGTCAGTTGTCCATATTTTCCCATCCATCTGAATGGTCCATGATCTTTAATACCTTACCAGTGTGGTTAAAATCCTGCTAATGTTTTCATCTATTTACAATGGTCTCCTAGGTAAATTATAATTTCCCCCCATTCTCTTGTCCTCTTAGTTTTCTACGGGTGGTGCTAAGTGCCCTCTGTCTTTGAGCTCTTTGCTCTCCTACTTTTAAGGCTCACTGGGTTCTGGGAGATGGTGGGTCTGGAATGCTTTCTAGTGACAATTGGTCAGCCAGCTGCTGCTCTGGCTCTCCTATGATTTCCCAACTTTCCCCCTCATCTGCCTCTGAGCTGTGACCTCCCTCAAACCTGTGCTATAAATCTATGCTGCCTTCCTCCCTCTGTCCCCTTCCCCTCAGTGTTACAGTCACAGCTTCTCTTAACATCCCTTCACTCTAAAAATAGTTGTTATACTTCCATTTCTGTTAGAGAGGTGTTTCAGTTGAATAATACAACATAGCTTCCTTCCCTGATCAGTGCCCTGGTTCAGGTGCGAGGGGCACTTTTCCTCAGTCCCCCTTCTCTCTAAGCAATCCAACTCCTGAGGTAATTCCAAAATGGCGTAACAGACCCAGGGGATCCCCTCCCCCCTTGTGACTGGCTTGGGGGTCTTCTCTCCCTGTCACGGTCCGGTTCACAGGCGATCAAAGTCTCGGCTGGGAATGTTGGGACCAGGGGCAAGATGAGGTGGGAACAGGAACGGGAGTCCAGAAGCCAGGAGTTGGGAAGCCAAGAGTCCGAGGGTCAGAGAGCTGGGAGTCAAGAAGCCGAGGGTCAAGAAGCAAGGAGTCACGAAGGCAGGGGTCCAAGGAGCAAGGAGTCACAAAGGCAGGGGTCCAAGGAGCAAGGAGTCACAAAGGCAGGGGTCCAAGGAGCAAGGAACCAAACGCAGCAAGGCAGGCAACGTGTTGCTGTGGCAAAGAGCTGAAGGGAAAATGCTGACCTTATACAGTGGTACCTCGGGTTAAGTACTTAATTCGTTCCGGAGGTCCGTTCTTAACCTGAAACTGTTCTTAACCTAAAGAACTACTTTAACTAATGGGGCATCCCGCTGCCGCCGCGCTGCCACCGTGTGATTTCTGTTCTCATCCTGAAGCAAAGTTCTTAACCCGAGGTACTATTTCTGGGTTAGTGGAGTCTGTAAGCTGAAGCGTATGTAACCCGAGGTCCCACTGTATCCCTTCCCAGCTCTTGCCACCAGGTGCTGTGAGTTACCAATCGGCCTCACCTGTGAGGCCGCGCCTTGCCTCTTCAGAACAAACTTAGGAAGGCCCCAGTCCTGATCACAGGGCCTGGCTCCTGCATGCACACCTGACACTCCCTAGAAGAATTGCCCCTCCGGACTGGCAGGTGCCCCGGGGGAGCTTGAATTCCCTCAGGTTCTGCTTCTCCTGCCTCAGTCAGCCCTCCCAGGACACCCCGTCTGTAGACCTTCCCCAGACCCCCAACCGGGTTTCCCTCTCCAAGCTGAGAGGGTCTTTCCTCTCACTATGCGCAGTCTCCTCAGGGTGGGTGTTCAACCCAAATCAGAACCAATTTTTCCTCAGACAAATCCTATCCTCCTCCCACCTCTGAACAATCCCTCCCCCTCTTCTCAAATCCAGCCCTGGCTCTCCTCTCAAATCCAGTCCTGTCCCTCAACCTGAGCCCCATCTGACTCTAACTTCTCAAGTCAAGCCCTTCTCCAACTCTCTTCCCTCAGAAACAGCTCTTTCTATTTTCCCTCCAAACGTGCTGGCTCCGCCCCCTCCGTCTTGGGAACCAATCAGAGAGAGGCTCCGGCCCTCTGGCGGAATTTCAGGGGAACTGCATCACCAGACTGCTGCCCCTCACATGTCATTTTGATATCTTAGTATTATTATTATGCATAAAGCAAATGGCAAAAGTAGTACGTAATGGCTCATTCGTCAGGGCTTCAGTTTGCCTGGACTCCAGTTCATTTCGCCATCACAAAGTGCATCTGATGAACTAGGTTTCTGCTTCATGGAAGCTTCCCTCTCCTCCGCCTGTCCATGCTTTCCCCAGTCCTCCTCTCCCCGCAACAGAGGAATAAAGGAAGCAGGGGGCTTTGGCTGACCGTCTGCGGAAAGGAAAGGAGGGCAGAACAGGTGTTTCCACCCACTACACCACACTGCCTCTCTTGACCCCGGGGTAGAGGATGCAGCCCCTTCTTCAGGACGCAGCCGGCTTCTGCATCTCGCCTCGCTGTGTCCTTTTTGCAGAGCTCACCTCCAGTCTAGAGTCCTGGGCATAGCCAGGATTTATATCAGGGGTGCAGAACCGAGCTATCTGCAACGCGATAGCTTGATTGCTATCTTGATTACTTGATTACTTGATTATCTTGATTACTTGATTACTTGATACTTGATTGCGCGCGGTGGGGGGTAGAGCTGCCCCCTGGCTGCTCCTAAGTCTGAAGGCTGACAGAAACGAGGGTTTCCTTCGGGGGCGGGTGGAGAATATTCCCTCTACTTCCGCAGAGTTGCATTGACTTCCTCCATCCCACCCGCTCCCCCAGGGAGAGAACCTCTTGCTTTGAAAGGGGCAGCGCATGGCATCCTCGGCGGACCAGGATGGTGCAGACTGGCAGGTGGAGGCCGTCTCTCGTGGATGCTTCCGTGGAGAGTCCAGCATCGCAGCGGGTTGGGCTGGATGACCCTTGTGGAGCCCCTTGAACCTCTCCTATTCCCCGATTCTCTTATTGGAAGCCAACCAGCCCCATATTGGTCTTGCACCCTGGTCCTGGCCTCCCCCGCCGCCCCTGAGGATGTTAGAATCCTAGAGTTGGAAGGGGACCCGAGGGTCATCTAGTCCAACCCCCTGCAATGCAGCGCTCTTTTGCCAAACATGAGTCTCGAACCCGCAACCCTGAGATGAAGGACCTCAGGCTGTACCCACTGAGCCATCCCGCCTATCGCCCCTCCAATATGTCATTCCCCACCCCAAGGGGCTTGTGGCTCCCTAGGAGTTCGCCTCTAAGGATGCCCCTTTCCCAGCCTGGAAGCCGAGCCGAGCCTTGCCGAGTCATGTTCTAAATCTGGCGGGATCTCATGACGGGATCGGGATCCCTCTCGGTGCCTCGCCAGCTTTTTCCTGGGCAAGAATCTCCGAGAGGCGAGGCTACGTAGGGGTTAAGGAGAGCGAGAGAGCCCGGTTGCCTAGAGCGGCCTGGAAAAGGCCCCTCTCTCCGTCCTTCCGACTCGCCTCCTCTTTCAGCTTGTCTTGGGAGGCCTCTGGGGCGGTGAGTCCTTTGGGCGAAGGGGAGGCTGTGGGGCGACGGGGGGTGGGGTGCAGAGGAGGCTGTTGGGGGGCTGAGAGATGAATGGGAGGATCCCCTGGGTTGGTGGGGGGAAGGGAAGCCATGGTTCCCAAGGCCTCTGAGGTCCCAGCACCCCCCACACACCTACGACCCCCGGGGGTGAGAGCGGGCTGTTTGGGGGGCTCGGAAGTGGGCGCCCCTTGAGAAGAGGGGGCTCCAAGTGGGGAAAGAGGGTGGGCATCCATCTTGGCATCCATCTTGGGTGATGCTTTCCTTGCGACCCCTGCATTGCTGGGAGTTGGACTAGATGACCCTCGGGAGCCCTTCCATTTCCACAGTTCTATGGTTCTGGGGGGGTGGAGCATTGGAGCCAACTTCATGGGGCCGGGAGGGGTTTGGCCCCCACAGTAAAACACTTGAGGGGCCTGGAGTGAGTGGGTGGGTGTCTGTGCATTGTATCATGTGATATTATATGGAGCAAGGCTTGCTGCCACCCCCAATATTTAATTCAAGTTTGCACCCCTAGGGTAGAGAGAGTGTGTGATAGGAATTTTGAGGTCTTAGATATATGTTAAATGTTCATAACCTGGAACCATTTTTGATTCCCAAACTGTCCCAAACTGACCAAATGTTTTCTCTGCAAGGTCAAAGGAAAATGGAAAAGCCTCCCCGTTGTCCTTTCCTTCACAAATCCTATCTTAAGGGTATGTCTGTGTTTGAACAGGGTGAGCCTGTGACCTGACTCAGGAACTAAGTATTTATCATTACTAAATATTTATCGGTACAAAAGACTGGCCAGGCTCCCCAGGGTATCCAATCAATTAAGCAGGGTATCCAATCAAGTAACCTGCCAGACAGGAGATAAACGACAGAAGAAAAGCAACATTCAAATTTCTGTTTTAGACCGCCTTTTCTGTGATGTAGGTATGATTTATCTGGGGTGGTGGTCTTGAGCTACAGGGTGGCAATTTCAAAATGTCTATATAAGGCCTTGCACGCCATTGTTCTGGGTTCCTCCTGTCCTGTGCGTGGTGAGTGAGGACCCTGTTGCAACAGATCAATAAAGATCAGGCTTACTAGCTGCTTTGCTTCTCAATATTCTCTGGTTGGTCTCTGTTATTTTCTCCTACTAATAGGAAAAAGGGCAGATTTTGTTTACAAGAGAGAGACGTGTCCTTTGGGAGAAAGGGCTCCATCTTGGGCGCTGGCAGGGAAATCTCCAGAGGCAAGATTTCCAAGATGGCAGAAAGAAAGGAAGTCAGAAGGAAAGGAGTGTTTTTTAATGGAGTGAAGGAGAGTCACCCTTCTTTTCCTGTAGGAGGGGTTGCTGGGGTGCCTCTTAGGGAGGGAATCTCTGCAGGGGTCTGGGGCTGCCTTGGCTTCTCTCCCCCCCCCCCCGCCCCCACGACTTGTTTAAACTTTGAGCTCTGCAAAATATTTTGAAAGAGGCTGGATCTGACCATCATCATTGCTATCCGAGGCTAGGAGAGGTGTGCTGAGTTCCAGGGGGTTGTGTGTGGAGGAGAAATGAATGGATGGGAGCTGGAGGGGGAAATGACCCCCCCCCCACAAAAGTCAAGAAAGCCCTGGCTGGAGGAAGGGAGTGGAGCAGTCTTCTCCAAAGTATTCACCTGGTACATGTTTCTAGGTGTCACAGAAGAGGAGGAATATGCAGAGCAGACCTTTGCAGATTTACTCATAAGGAAGCCCCCATGGGGAGAGGACAGATTGAATTGGTATCACCAAAAAAACCTTAAAAATGGGGCTCCTGTTGGGAAGGAGGAGCCCTTTGGGGCTTTTCTAGGGGCAGCAGAATGTTTTGGGCAGGAGAATCCCTGCAGGGCCTCTGAGGCTCCCTTTGCTTCTTCCTCCCTCCCAGGAACCTGCATCTTCTGAGCTCCTCAGGAAGGATGAAAGCGGCTGAACCTGCAAACCTAGCAAGGATGGAAGGAGGAAGATGGACAGTTGACCTTATCAGACTGCCTCCTGCATCACTCCCCAAAACCTCTGGGCATTTTCTCCCAGGACACTCAGAGACATCTGGTGAGTTCCTATGGAGTGGAGATAGGGACACACAAGGATCGCTAGATGGATGGTGAAGAGGAAAACCTGCCCCCAGGCTTTTGAATGTTAGGTGCTATTTCCACTGCAGGACTGCTGGCTTAGTTGCTAATCTCCCCTTCTTGGGCAAGGTTCTTAAAAAAAAAAAAATCTGGATTTTTTTAAACAAAAAGATTTTTTTTATTAGAAAAAAAAAAAATTACAAATCCATAAACGAAGATTACCCTGAATCTTGTGGCTTCCCCCCATCCCCTCCGTTGGTCCTAATATTACCATCTACAACTGCATATAAGTCCATTGTCCATATTTTTCTGTTCATCCAAGTTATCCATAATCTTTAATACCTTATAAGTGCAGTTAAAATCCTTCTAATGTTTTCATCTGCTTACAACGGTCTCCTAGATAAATTGTAATATCCCTATTATTATTATTTATCCCAACCATATAGGCAGCTGGGTTTTCTTTTCATTTTTCCTTTAGGGGTGTGTGTTCATGAAGCATGCGTACTAGTTCTTAAACTATCATCTGCTATTTCTCCTTGTTATCTCGAGTCACCTCTAAACTATAAATCTATCACTCTCAGGGTCAGCATGGGCCTTGAACAAATTCTTAGTCTTTCTTAGTCTTAATTGCACCCTCTAACACGAAAAGGAGTTTAGGTAGAATCCTTTGATTCAGCTAAGGATTCATTTTTATTCATTTATTCCACATTGGGGCAGGACCTATTTTTCTTGCTTGGTGGGTTTCAAGTGGAAGGCACCCTTTTTCACCATGGAAACAGTGAAAGACTTACCCTTCAACAGCTAAATGTGAAGCTCCTTTTGTTTCTTCTTCCCTCAGGAACCTGCGGCTTGTTTACGCTTGGGAGCTCCTCAGGAAAGATGAAAGAGTCTGATAATGCAAACCTAGCGAGGATGGAAGGAGGAAGATGGACGGTTGACTTGGTCAGGCTGCCTCCTGCATCCCTCTCCAAAACTGTTGAGCATTCCCTCCTAGGGCCCTCAGAGAGATCTGGTGAGTTGCAGGGGGTAAGAGATGGGCGCAGGGATGGAAAGAGACAGGAGCAGGGAAACACATTGGCAAGGGGAAAAGATGGAGAGGAGAGAAAAGGCAGGAAGAAGGAAGCAGAGAGGCCTTTTCCCATGCTCCTCTTTGTTTCTGGAATCTGCTTTCATAGAGTAGCCAGAAACCTTTTTCCTCTCACAGCCTTTTGATTTTACATGTTTTCCCCCCACTACATGATTAAATGATGATTATTACCTAAACTAATACAGAAATATGGGAAAAGGGTGTTGTGGAAATGCTTTTAGTAATTATAGATTATTTATTTTTTTGAAACACTTCTACCACTTTTATTTTTTTCTAGACAATTATAATTATGTATGTAATTTATATATCTCCATTCATACAAAGATATTCCTTGAAACCCTAAAAGCATTTATCCCTTTGCTCCAAAGCAGGTGGTGCAGACAATCGACAGAACTCTGCAGAATGTGGAATGAGCTTTATTGATGGTGGAAACCTTACAAACCATCAACAAACTCACATGGGGGAAAGACCATTTGAATGTATGGAATGTGGAAAGAGTTATAGTAGTAATGGCATTCTTAAACATCAGCGAATTCATACAGGGGAAGAACAATATGAATGTTTGGAGTGTGGTAAGTGCTTCAGTACTGGTGGAAATCTTACAAGACATCAACGGACTCACACAGGAGAGAAACCATTTAAATGTGTGGAGTGTGGGAAGTGCTTCAGTACGGGTGGAAAACTTACAAGACATCAACGGACTCACACAGGAGAGAAACCATTTAAATGTATTGAGTGTGGAAAGAGCTTCAGTGAAAGTTGGTCCCTTCATATGCATCATCGAAGTCACACAGGGGAGAAACCATTTAAATGTATGAAGTGTGGAAAGAGTTTCAGTTCCGGTTCAAGCCTTGCTTTACATCATTACACCCACACAGGGGAGAAACCATTTGAATGTATGGAGTGTAAAAAGAGCTTCAGTGACAGGGGAACACTTAGAAAACATCAACTAATTCACACAGGGGAAAAGCCATTCACATGTATGGAGTGTGGAAAGAGCTTCTGTCATATTGGTAAACTTCGAGTACATCAACGGACTCACACAGGGGAGAAACCATTTGAATGTCTAGAATGTGGAAAATGGTTCAGACGAAAGACACACCTCACTTCACATCGGCGAACTCACACAGGGGAGAAACTATTTAAATGTTTGGAATGTGGAAAGACTTCCACTGATAGTCGAACACATGCAGTACATCAACAAACTCACACAGGGGTTAAACCATTTAAATGTATGGAATGTGGAAAGAGCTTTGGTCAGAGTTCCCACCTTCGTACACACCAGCAAACTCACACAGGGGAGAAACCGTTTAAATGCTTGGAGTGTGGAAAGAGCTTCAGTCAGAGTGCACACCTTAACACACACAAACATACTCACACAGGGGTGAAAGACTTTAAATGCTTGGAGTGTGGAAAGAGCTACAGTCGACGTGATAAACTTAGTGAACATCAGAGAACTCACACAGGTGTTAAACCATTTAAATGTATGGAGTGTGGAAAGAGCTTTGGTCAGAGTGCACACCTTAACATACATAAACATACTCACACAGGGGTGAAACAGTTTAAATGCTTGGAGTGTGGAAAGAGCTACAGTCGACGTGATAAACTTAGTAAACATCAGCAAACTCACACAGGGGTTAAACCATTTAAATGTATGGAGTGTGGAAAGAGTTTCCATCAGAGTGCACAGCTTGCTTTACATAAACGTACTCACACAGGGGAGAAACCCTTTAAATGTATGGAGTGTGGAAAGAGCTTTAGTTGGAAGAATCAGCTTAATTCACATCAACGAACTCACACAGGGAGAAGCCCTTTAAATGTATGGAGTGTGGAAAGAGGTTCAGTGAAAGTTGCTCCCTTAATATTCATCATCGAACCCACACAGGGGAGAAACCATTTAAATGTATGGAGTGTGGAAAGAGTTTCCGTCAGAGGATACACCTTACTTTACATAAACGTACTCACACAGGGTGAAACACTAAATGCTTGCAGTGTGGAAAGAGCTTCAATCAACGTGAGAAACTTAGTGAACATTCACTCGATGTTCATTCTTTTACATAGAATTCTAAAATGCTAGAGTTGACTCGACATAATTTGAGGGGTTTTTGGATGGGGCAGTGTGGAAACACATTCACTTTATTTTGATTACTTCTCTGGAACAAATGAACCTCAAAGGGAGACTAGCATGACAACCCACCAAGAGGTTCAGTGCTGTCACTTGTGGACTGAATCAGGACAATGGATATTTTTCACAATATGTGGGTTAATCGTATTCACAGTGCCAACTCCAGTGGTACCTTGGTTTAAGAACAGCTTAGTTTATGAACAACTTGGAATAAGAATGCTCCAAACCCGTAAGGTGTTTGGGTTGGTGAACTTTGCCTTGGAACCAGAACATGTTCCGCTTCCTGTTGAGTGTGTTCTGTTTGTAAATTGAGTCCCCCACTGCTAATCAGAGGCTTCCTGTTGAGTCTGTTGGCCGTTGAGTCTGGAGCTCCCACACAACACAGAAGCAATATTTGGAGCTTTTGTCTTTGCTATTTTTTGCGTTTTTGTTTGTGTGGGTTTTTCATTATTATTTTTTACTGTGACTTGTTCTTTGTTTTATGGTACTGACTTTTGACTGTGGCTTGTGACTTTGTTTTTGTGACTGTGTGGAACCCAGTTCAGCTACTGGTTGATTGTGTGATTGCAGAAATGGATAAAAGCCCCACATCCAAACAATTACTATCATCAGTGCACGTAAGAAAATAATAATAATTTTGAGTTTTATCATCTACAATACTGTCTCATTTATTTTCTTGTACAGAACATTGATTATTGCCTTCCTTTTATGGATCAATGGTCTTGTTAGATAGTTTAATTCATGTTAAATTGCTGTTTTAGTGGGGTTTTTTATTGTCTGGAACGGATTAATCCATTTTCCATTACAGTGGTACCTCGCAAGACGAATGCCTCGCAAGACAAAAAACTCGCTAGACGAAAGGGTTTTTTGTTTTTTTGAGTTGCTTCGCAAGACGATTTTCCCTATGGGCTTGCTTCGCAAGACGGAAACATCTTGCAAGTTTGTTTCCTTTTTCTTAACACCATTAATACAGTTGTGACTTGACTTCGAGGAGCAACTCATAGAACGCGGTGTGGTAGCCTTTTTTGAGGTTTTTAAAGACTTTGGTGATTTTTGAAGCTTTTCCAAAACTTTCCCGACACTGTGCTTCGCAAGACGAAAAAATCGCAAGACGACAAAACTCGCGGAACGAATTAATTTCATCTTGCGAGGCACCACTGTACTTTCTATGGGAAAGCACGCCTTGGTTTAAGAACGCAATGGTTTAAGAATGGACTTCCTGAACAGATTAAGTTCAGTAAACCAAGGTATCACACTGATTTTGTGTGTGAAAACAGCTATTAATAAAAGCAGTGGACTTCTAATCTGGTGAACCGGGTTGGCTTCCCCGCTCCTCCACATGCAGCTGCTGGGTGACCTTGGGATAGTCACACTTCTCTGGAGTCTCTCAGCCTCACTCACCTCACAGTGTTTGTTGTGGGGGAGGAAGGGAAAGGAGATTATTAGCTGCTTTGACACACCTTAAGGGGAGTGAAAGGTGGGATTTCAAGTCCAAACTTGTGTTCCCAGAATGTCACCAGTTTTCATTAAATGCCCCCTGGAAAACATGACAGCAGCATGCTGCGCTTGGCATCCCGATGCTCATGTTCATCCCTCCCCTTCATGCCCCTTTCCGCCCCCCCTCTCTCTCCCCCAGCAGCCCATTCTTTTACATTCCCTACTGTTGCTTTAAATTGCAGCTGACTTTGTGTCAGCGTCCCCAAGCCCTTACTCCACCTCTCTTTCTGTATAGAAACTGTATAGAATTTTACTTGTCCCAAAATGGAAAGAAGTCCCAGCCAAGAGAGAATGGATGCAAGAACTTATGGAATATGCAGAAATGGTGAAACTTACCAGAAGAATAAGAAATCAAGATAATAATTTTTTAAATAAAAGAATGGAAATGGTTTATTGAATATTTACAGATAAACATTATCTGAGATTTTTTTTTTTTTCATTATAATTTTTTAATTGGTTTTTCACATTTTATAAAGACATAACACACACGTAAAAGACAAAGACAAAAAACATGTATAATTTCAGAAATCTTACTTTCTTAACTTTGGTCCTTGACTTGCCCCACCCCCCTTCATACATCCCAATTCCCATAATTATGTCAGCAAGTTATTATTTTACCTCCTTACCCTGTTAATATTACATCTTTGTAGAAGATTAAATTCTATCCTAAGTTGGGCTCAGATTCCCTTCCATCGATTTCCCATTTTTTATTAAGCATCAATCATATTGACTAGACCCAAAAATCGTAAGTGTTTTTAAAATTCTATTTTCCCCCCCCATCCCCGGTTCGTCCCTTCCCAAGTACATTTCTACAATAACAGTTCTTAGCCTGGATTTCTCACATCCGAGGCCTTCAAGTCTCTTTCAGTCCCTCTCCGCCGGTTTTGTTGGTAGTCCTTTATGTTGGTCTTCGGATCTCGAAGGAGTTCTGTCCCAGTCAAGCCAGATTTTCTTCCCACAAGAAAACTTAGAGACAACTGCTGCAAAAGTTCCACCAGTCCTTCATATTCAGAATGGAGGCCCCCATCATATTTCTTCTTTCTTTTAAGTTCTTGAATTCCAAGTACTCCAGGGGCCTCCTCCTTCATCTTTCGCATCTTTTGCAGATTTGTAATCCATATAATCCAAGGGTCTTCTTGTTTATAATTCACATGTGTAGGCTTCTGGTTGGTACTTTCCATCTGTGCTTTCTCCTTTCCTTGTTTAGTCTCCTTCAATTCTTGAGATATCTGTTCCGGTTCAGCTGCAGATTTTTTCTCATTCAGATCCTCAATACATTCAGCAGAGCTGCTTATTCCAGAAGTCAAGGTCGTAAGTTGTTTATTCATAGCCAGACTCTGCTCTTGTAAAGTTCCCACAAAGTAACACATTCTTTCTATTTCAGCTAGTAAATTTCCATCCGCAGCCATTGTAATGTCTCAGAATTCCCCTAGAGGGAATCTGGTTACTTAGTAATCTTTTCCCAACAGTCCTTTGCCTCGTTCTTTGTTTCTTTGTTTCGAACCACTTTAATTCACTTGTATCACATGTAGTCCAGGGCGATCTTAAATAACACGCGTTTTTACTGTAAATTGCCCGATTGACAGCTTTAACAGCTGTCAAACTCCTTTCCTCTTCAACAGGCTCAAAGGCAGGACGCTCCCGGGCCCGGAAGGGGGGGGTTACACACCACAAGAGAAAAACTTCTAAAATTCCACTCTTACACTCCAGCTCAGAACTTCTTTTATCAAATCGTGAAAGTTAATGTCTTTTTAACTCACCCCAAAGGGGTAGACTCTCCAACTTAGTTCTCCTGCTATTGCTTTAAATCGTCTGCAGAAGGGGGGGGTGCGGACTTCCCTTTAACACATCCCCCGGTCGTATCAAATTCACAGATAGATATTTTAAAGTCCGAATTCCAATCTACTCACGGGTTGCTTCTTTTCGAGTTCCGAATTTAAGGAACAAAGTCAGTGCTCTTCAGCCATGGCACACGGCTCCGCTCCGCTGGGGTAGCGGTCTACTCCCAGCACCACGCCGCTTCCGTACCCTCTCCGTAGCCTTTAAAAAGGCTCTTCGTGGGTCGGGGGCGCTTAAGGTGCCCACCGAGTCACCAGGTCCGCAGGCATCCGCGCCTGCGGTTTTTGAGGGTCTCCGCGTCGCCGTCGCGGCAAGACCCGTCCCCAGCGGAGCCGATTCCCTCCGGAGCTCGGAGAGAATCCGCCATTAGCTGTTCGCACCAACCCGGAAGTCCAACATTATCTGAGATTTATTGCTCAGGGGGAAAAGGTCCTGCAAGCTTCCGTTGCGCAGTCTGCTGTTCCAGACTTCTGAGCGTAGCAGAGTAAAATCACAGCGGTCAAAGCCCTTAGCTTTCTGTCTTCTGTGCGTGCCATTAGTGTGCATAAATCAAGAGCCCACGCAGCTTCTCCTAAGCTAAAAGCATTTATTATTACAGCCGCAGTAACTTATCCAGTATCGAACAGAATGTGAGACATGTCTGTTCCCTACAAAAGCGAAACCAGAATAGAACAAAGAAAAACAGATCCCGGATGTGACGCAGGATCCCTCCACCCCACAGAAGGCAGGATGCATACACTGAACTGTTTAACCCTGAAAGCTCAGGTTCTCCTCACACCCCCTCTCGTCCTGCGCTACTGGGGACCAGTAAGTATCACCACTTACCCCAACTTCAAACCTCCATAGAACTCCCCATGACGCTGGAAGCTCAAAGGTTTCGATAACCCATCTGCCAGGTTGTCGTGGCTTGTACAGTACTTCATCCGCACCAAACCTGACTGGACACTTTGACACACATTCTGGAAATGTATGTCTATATGCTTGGTTCTGGCCTTAAACTGCCCAGATTCTGCCAACTTCAGACAGGGTGGATTGTCCTCCTAAATATTGATGGGCAGGCAACAATCCCCATAGATCTCTTGCACCAGGCATCTATAGAACACCAGTTGCCGGCACAACTCCAACAGTGTGCTGAACTCAGCCTCAGTAGAGGACAGTGCAATGAGACTTTGCTTCCGAGACTTCCACCCAATCAGAGATTCCCCAAACTTTATTACCTTCCCAGATACGGACTTCCTGTTATCCATATTCGCCCAGTTGCTATCTGCCCAGCAAGTGAGCCTAGTCTCACCTGCAGCTGACAGCTTGAGATTAAAGTCCTTGGTATCCTGCAGGTAATGCAGCACCTGCTTGATACCATGCCAGGTGTTTACACTGGGCTTTGTAGCTTCCCTACTGAGGAGATTGGTAGCAAAAGCAGTGTCCGGCCTGCTCCATTGGGACAGATACAACAGACTAACCAGAGCTGATTGAAAGAGCTCAGCGTTCTCGAACTCCACGCATTCTGTTAGTTGACTGTCTTTCAAGTAGCTTGTCTCCATGGGTGTCAACCCCTGCACAATCAGACATTCTGAACTTCTCAAGCAACCACTCAGTCTTGCCTTTCTGACTGAGCAAGAAGCTTCCATCTTCAGTCCTGTCTATCTGTACACCTAGGTAGATCTTTACTGCACCTAGGTTCTTGAGCTGAAACCGCTTTCCAAGCTCTTTGGCAAACTTCTGCACCTGTTTGTTTGCCCCTGAGATGTGTATGATGTCATCAACAAAGATCAACACAATTTCCTGCGACTCTCCTGACCCTTTAAGGTACAGGCAGCTGTCAGCAAGACTCCTCCTGAAACCTAGCTTCTCTAAGGCTTCATTCAGGCACAAGTTCCAATTTCTGGCCAATTGCTTTAAGCCATAAATGGACTTGTGAGGCTTCCATACAGTATTTGGCCCATTGCCCTCAAACCCTGGAGGAGGAAGCATGTACATATCCTCCTGGAGGTCTGAGTTCAAATAGGCCACATCCACCTCAAAGTGATGCACCTGCTTACCTCTGTGCAGCAATGGCTAAGAGCATGCGCAGAGTTTCACTTCTGGAAGTAGAAGCATATACCTCAGTAAAATGCAGCCCCTTCTGCTGCGTGAACCCTCTGGCTACTAGCCTAGCCTTGTACTGTGATTCTCCAGTTGCTGTGGGTTTAAGACAGTAAACCCAGAGGCTGCTCATGGCCTGTTTGCACACTGGCAACGTCGTGAAAGAAAACACACCTAGAGACTCCATTGAGCTCATCTCCTTCTGCATTGCCTCATGCCATTTCCTGGCTTCTTCCTGAAGCAGTTTCTGAACATCCTCAAAACTCTCAGGTTCACACTGTGCCATACCAACCCACACAGTTGTGACTGCAAACCTGTCAGGAGGTTTACCTTTCGTTGTGCAAGCTGAACATCTCAACCCAGTTTCAGGTACCTGCTCTGACCCACTTGTCAGTGTTTGTAAAAAGCAAAAAAAGGAGGAAAAGGTTCTGACCACCCTTTCTCTCCTCAGCCTGGTCCTCGGACCCTTGTCGGCACAAAAAGAGTCCACGAGAATATCCTTGCAGAGTTTTATTCTTAAAAGTCCTTGTGCAAAACACGACTGAATAACTATACACACCAGCACTAACCAACCAACCCAACCTCCAGACACCAGCCTCAGCACAAACTAACATTTCTCACTTATATATACAACCTGCTGCAGGCTGCTGAGTCATGCTGACCCAGCTTTATTCGCATTAAAGAAACAGCGGCCATTTTAGCCGTGACACCCCTTCTGTTTCTTAAATGCGAAAAACCTAACAGAAACAATACATACATGCATTATATACATAAACCCAGTTTTGTCATCAATTCATTATGACATGTTGCTGGCAAAGGCTTGGTAAACAAATCAGCAATATTATCTTGTGATTGACAATACTCCAGTTTAATTACCCCATTGTGTACACCATCTCTCACATTCGCATGATGGATAGCAATATGTTTTGATGCGGATTTCATTATTTCCGAGCCAGCTAATGCAATGCACGATTGGCTATCTTCATACACTTGGATAGGCAAATCAACTTTACAATCTAGATCTTTTAGTATCTGTATAAACCACATGATTTCGTTGCATGCTAGCAACAGGCTCCCATACTCTGCCTCACAGGATGAGGTCGCAACAAATCCTTGTTTCTTTGACCTCCATCCAATTATGGAATTGGCAAACATCATAACCATTCCACTTGTAGATTTTCTAGTAGCTACACAGCTTCCCAGTCCGCATCAACAAATACTTCTAGTTTTTCGTCTTGTGTACTAGATATCTTCAAACATACATTTAATGTCCCCTTTAGATATCTGATAAGCCTTTTCAAAGCACACCAATCAGCAGTACTGGGTTTAGATACACGTTGGCTCAGAACATTTGTAGCACATGCAATGTCTGGCCTTGACCACTGGCTTAAGTACAACAGTGATCCTATTTTTGAGTGATACAACTCAGGCTGATCAAATTCATCATCACACACTGTCTTTGGGAAATCTGGTGTCATGGGAGTTTGA